GCGCAGCCCAGTACCATCCGGAGCAGAGCAGTAGCAGGAACCTGCAGTGAATATTGGCCTCCCAGAGTCACTGGTGCTCTCCCCTGGGACCGAGACGAAGCCAGGAAGCCAAGGATGGTTCCTAGAGCAGCATGGCTCTAAGGAGCCCTGGCATAGACCAGGCTGAGCTCTGTCTCACCCTTTGCCTCTCCCTGCTGACCTCAGGCCTTCCCCATGCGTGGGGCCAGGTGACTAATAACCCTGGAGATGGCAGTCTGGGATCACTGCAGATAAGTGTAGAGGCGCGCTGGTCACTGGCCAGGCGTCTGGCTCAACTGGACATGCTGGGCGCAGTTTGCGGGATGAAGGAGAGCTGGAGCCAGAGGCTTGGTCTTGGAGGCGTTGAAGCCACATAGAATCATAGAATATAAGGGTTGGAAGGGACCCCAGAAGGTCATCTAGTCCAACCCCCTGCTCAAAGCAGGACCAATTCCCAGTTAAATCATCCCAGCCAGGGCTTTGTCAAGCCTGACCTTAAAAACTTCTAAGGAAGGAGATTCCAACACCTCCCTAGGTAACACATTCCAGTGTTTCACCACCCTCCTAGTGAAAAAGTATTTCCTAATATCCAACCTAAATCTCCCCCACAGCAACTTGAGACCATTATTCCTTGTTCTGTCATCTGCTACCACTGAGAACAGCCTAGATCCATCCTCTTTGGAACCCCCTTTCAGGTAGTTGAAAGCAGCTATCAAATCCCCCCTCATTCTTCTCTTCTGCAGGCTAAACAATCCCAGCTCCCTCAGCCTCTCCTCATAACTCATGTGTTCCAGCCCCCTAATCATTTTTGTTGCCCTTCGCTGGACTCTCTCCAATTTATCCACATCCTTCTTGAAGTGTGGGGCCCAAAACTGGACACAGTACTCCAGATGAGGCCTCACCAATGTAAATGGCCTGTCCTGGTGCAAAGGTGTGACCCTTTGGGGGTCTGGTGTGTTTAAAGGAGTCTTCCCAAGGGAGGGCTTCCAGGGAAGGCATAGCATAGAACCTGTAGATCCGTGACACCCCACCCTTGCTCCCTACAGCACAGCGCCCCCTAGCACCACGCTGGGGCATAGAAGCCAGCACTGACTGAGGGGACAGCACCTCCCACCACAGTACTAACCAGACCCAACCCTGTTCTGACTGGGTGATCACAGGGTGTCATGAGGCTGCAGCGAGTGGTGCGGCCAATCACCATGGAGGACACGGAGCCCAGCCAACTGGAGCAGAGCCCAGGACCATCTAGCCCAGTTTCCCATCTCCAATAGTGGCTGGAACCAGCGGCTGCCCTGGAAAGTGTAAAGAATCCCATAGGATCCGATGTGGGATAATCTGCCCACCCCCCACACACATTAGGTCTCATCATCATCACTAGTAATCAGAGATTGGCTTAAACCTCACAGCCGGAGCTCTAATATCCCTGCCCCAACGCAGGCAGCATTCACTAAAACTCAGCCTAATCTTGTTACTCACAGAAATGGCCAGTCCCTTTTTGGAGCCCTGCTGTTGGCCTCACTGCAATCTTGTGGCAGGCAGTTCCCCTGGCTAATGGTCTCTTGTATAAAATAAGACTTTCCACTCTTGGGGTGGGAATTTGCCCCCTTTCCACATCTCCAACTGTCCCCTTGTATCAGGAGACAAGGAAAGCAGCAGCTCCAGCTCTCCCTTTGGTATTTTATAGACTTCCATCCCGTCTGCGCCCACATCCCTTCTAAGGTAACAATCCCCCATTTCTTCACTCTCTCATCGTTGGAGCATGTTTCCAGGCCCTTGGATCATTGTCACCCTTCCTTGAACCCCACAAGATCTGCACTATCCTTCTGGGGATGAGGCGACTTGTGCAGCGCATGGTGTCCAGAGGAGACTGCACCATCCATTGATAGGAAAGCACTATAATATCCTCACTATTATTCACCATCTCGTTCCTTCAGCATCCTCACAGCTTTGCTGCTCCGACCGTGGCTGCACATTGAGCAGAGCTCTCCACTGATCTGTCTGCAATGACACCCAGGCCCCTTTCTGAGCTGCAACAATTATTTCAGACCCGTCAGGTGGGACGTGGGGTTCAAATTCTTCCATCTCCTTGCATTGAGCAGACACTGAATTCCAGCTCCCGGCATGTCGCCCGTTCCTGTCCCTCTGGGCTCCCTCGCTACGCCTTGACTGACCTCACGCTCTGGGTGTGCTCTCCGCTGCAGCTGCTGCCGCTTTGCCACTAACCTTCTCTGCCAGCACTCTAAGCGCTTAGACACGGGAACCGGTGCAGAGCCAGCAGACCTGGCATTAACCCGCTGCCAGGATGATCTTGCTCTCCGATTCCTGCCTCTTGGCCCGTTTTTGATCTGGGGCAAGACTTGAGCCCCTGTTCCTTAGATGCCACCTCCCGAGGAGCCTTGTCCTGAGATTCCTGGAAGCCCCAAGAGAGATGGGATATCACTGGGGTGGGGCCCAGATCCCCTAGACACAATCACCACCAGGCCTCATATTTGCCTTTTTATTTCCTCTGAAACATATGAGCAGAACAATAAATTAAATCCCCCCCCCCCCGGCTGTGGAGCACCAGCGATGGGGGAGGAGAGAGACAGTGGGGCTTACAGAGAGGAGGGGGGCAGGGGCCCATTCCCACCTCTTCCTGGCCAACCCCTTTGCTGGCCCCCGGGAAGGGGATGCAGCACCACAGAGAATGGATGCAACGCCTCCATGGATGTCACTGGAAGGTGGCCAACTGTGGTTGCTCCCCAACGCTGCCCGGAATGACAGAGATAGCCTGTGATTTCAAGCACCTCCCTTCAGTACTGCCAACCCAGCGCCTGCACCCATCCCCCGAGAAGGCCGCAGCCGGACTCAGAACCCACTGTTGGATCTGATCCACCCTTAGTACTATTTGTGGACATGGACGTTTGCTCTCTCCCAAATAAGAGATGAATAGGAGTACCTGAGAAATATGCACCCGGCAGCCACTCACCCCAGACACCTCCCAGGGACTGGTTCTGCTGGGGTGGGGTGGGATCCACAGCCACCATACACAGCGAGATAGCTTATAAAATAGGGGGAGGGGAAACTTGATCAACACTCCAGTGTCAGGAGACAAGAGTGTGTCTATAACAGAAGGAAACTTGATCAACATCCCAGAGTTAGCAGATAGAGGGTATCTTGGTGTGGAGTGGCCTGAGAAGGGAGGGGAAACTTAATCAGCACCCTGCATTGGCAGATAGAGGATGTCCTAGAAGAAACAGAAAGCTTTATTGACACCCTAGCGTTGGCAGACAGGGGACATCCTAGAAGAGAACATAAGAGTGGCCATACAGGGTCAGACCAAAGGTCCATCTAGTCCCGTATCCTGTCTTCTGACAGCAGCCAGTGCCAGGTGCCCCAGAGGGAATGAACAGAATCATAGAATCATAGAATATCAGGGTTGGAAGGGACCCCAGAAGGTCATCTAGTCCAACCCCCTGCTCGAAGCAGGACCAATTCCCAGTTAAATCATCCCAGCCAGGGCTTTGTCAAGCCTGACCTTAAAAACCTCTAAGGAAGGAGATTCTACCACCTCCCTAGGTAACGCATTCCAGTGTTTCACCACCCTCTTAGTGAAAAAGTTTCTCCTAATATCCAATCTAAACCTCCCCCACTGCAACTTGAGACCATTACTCCTCGTTCTGTCATCTGCTACCATTGAGAACAGTCTAGAGCCATCCTCTTTGGAACCCCCTTTCAGGTAGTTGAAAGCAGCTATCAAATCCCCCCTCATTCTTCTCTTCTGCAGGCTAAACAATCCCAGCTCCCTCAGCCTCTCCTCATAACTCATGTGTTCCAGACCCCTAATCATTTTTGTTGCCCTTCGCTGGACTCTCTCCAATTTATCCACATCCTTCTTGTAGTGTGAGGCCCAAAACTGGACACAAAACAGAATAGGTAACCATCAAGTGATCCATCTCCTGCTGCCCTAGGGTGACCAGATGAAATGAAGAAAATATCGGGACACATGGGGGAAGCAAAAAAAAAAAAAAAAAAAGCGGCCGGAGTTGATGAAGCAAAAAAAAACGCCAGAGCGGCCTAAGCCGCAATATCAGGACAAATGGCGTCCCCACCGTGCATCGGTCGGAATGCGGGACAAAGACCTAAACATCTGGACAGTCCCTGTGCTGCCCATTCCCAGCTTCTGGTAAGCAGAGGCTAGCGACACCATCCCTACCCATTCTGACTAATAGCCATTGATGGACCTACCCTCCATGAATTTATCTAGTTCTTTTTTTATTAACCCTGTTAGTCTTGGCCTTCACAACATCCTCTGGCAGAGTTCCAGCAGGCTGACTGTGTGTTGTGTGGAGAAATACTTCCTTTCATTTGTTTTAAAAGAAACTTTATCAACAACCCAGTGTGAGCCAATGAGGGACATCCTAGCAGGGTGAGGAAACTTTTTGACCCCTCCATGTTAGCAGATAGGTGAAGGCTCAGTCAGGCAGGGCAGAGAGGGGGAAGTTGTGATTCAAACCCAGGACCTGGCAGCTACACAGTTTCCCCATCTATAACATGGGGGGAGGAGGGGAATTCTGATACTCACCCATCAGTTTGACAGATGAAAGTGGCTAGGTAAGTGCTAGAAATTATTATCCTGAATGCCCTGATCCAGCACCCCTTTCCATGGGGCAGATCTTTATGGGAAGGCGCGTCCTGATTTGGGGCTTAGGAGTGCACCCCGATCTTTGGTTAGCTATTTACAGCCATAGAGCTTTATAAAGTTCACTGCAAAAATATATAGATCTCTCTCTCTCTCTCTAGATATATATAAAAAAAACTATTAGAAATTCGACGCAGCTCGGCTATTTCCATGGCTCCCGCGTATTGAAACCTACAAGTGTTTCTTTTTCCTGCTCTTAGTGTCTCATCCCATCTGTTCGGCAATCGTCTGATGAGCGGATCTGGCATTTTGTTCTATGTCACCCACGCTCTCCCCCCCCCCCCCCGTTCTCCAGCCCCCCCTATGCCTCAGTGTCATCAGCGCTCAGCATGCCATTGAGGGCCACGCCGTCCTGGAGTTTGACTTGGGCACTCTCAGCCAGGTCCGGGATCTCTCTGAGCGTTGTCTGGTCCTGGAGCAGGGTGCGCCGGAAGTAGCAGAGGTAGAGAGGCAGCAGAAAGCCCAGGAGAGAGAAGATCAGGAGGCCAAAATTGACCTGCGGGGAGGAGGGGGGGGTGCAAAGCAAGTGGGAGAGATTTGGAGGGGGGGGAAAAATCAGTGATTTCATCTCACAGCTGAGCTACCCACTCAGTGATTCAGCCACCAAAATATGTTCCTTCTCCACCCCCTATTAACTGCACGGCATGCTGGGAAAGGGGCCCGCTCCACAGCCCTGCACTCCTCCCCTGGGGGGGGCAAGACCTTTTTAGTGCCAACTGGGCAGCTTTGCCAATCTGGACACAGGCACCTGCCCCACCAGGGACTGTCCCACTCCAAGCCAGCCAGGCGCAGGGGCCAGCACTCCCTAGAGGGCAAAGACTCTGGGTCTTACCCCCCAAGCCAGTCAGTGACCCCATCCTGGGGTCAGATCAGAGCCAGTGCCTCGTAGAAGGGAAAGGCCCTATGTCCCATTCCCCTCTTCCCTGAGCCATCCTGTTCCTTCCACCCAGTATACCAAAAGATGCTCCTTTTCTCCAAGGGCAGGGAGGTCCCTGTGGCCCCTTCCAGGATGGTAGGAGGAGCCTGGGTCTAGCCCCACCCCTCACCTCTCCAGTGTCAGCTAATGCATTCAACTGGGGCAAATGGCAACCTCTGGTCTAACGGGGCCAGGTGCTCCACAGAGCCCCCTGCCCAGCCAGGGGAAAGGGCACCAGATCCAACCCCCCGCCCCAGCCTCCCTCACCCCTTGGTGGATCAGCCCCAGAGCAGGGCAGAGTCTAAGCCCTTGGGGGTGGGGTCAGGAACTGGTATTGCCCTGCCCCCTTGCCGTATGCTAGCTCCATGGGGTGGGGGTGGGGGAGGGGGCGGGGGCTCCCCAGCCTGAGGCCTGTGGGAAGGGGATCCCAGGACAGGGTTGGCCCCGGGTCATGGCCCTCTCACTTACCCAGAAGGGGTCGCCGGCCAGGGGCCCCACCACAACCATGAAGAGTGGCTGCTGCAGCAGAGCAAAGACGGCGCTGATCAGCGACTGCAGGCCAGTTAGAGTGCCAAAGTGACTGGACGGGAACCTGCAACCACAGGCCAAGCGGCCAGTGAGGGCTCTGCCCACCTGGCGCTCCTTCCGGGTAACCAAAGTCCTAGGAGTGACGCCCCCTTGATTAGTGACCCCCAAACCTCTCCCCTTGGCCCCAGCAGACAGGAGAATGAGAGGACTCAAGGGGGCAACCCCCCATCTCCCCTCCCACCTGCCCCACATCCCAGCTGGTTTGTATCCCTCCCCCCATATATTTGGCCATCAAGAACGACTAACCCACACCGAACTCCATCAACCTTAGCCAGCTGGGCTTGGACCCCCAGGAAGATTAAGGAGGGAGGGAGACGGGGTCCCCAGCTACTGGGTCATGCCCCTGTGGGCATCCCCAGCCAGTGCTCCAGGACTGGGTGTGGTGGGGTATGCAGGAAGGTCGGGGCGGAGCTGGGGGGGGGCGACTCACACAGCTGCGTAGAGACCCCCGCAGGCGGAGTGGAAAAAGCCTCGCACCATGGTGTGAAGGACAAAGGTCAAAAACTGCAGAGAGAGAGAGAGAGAGAGAGAGAGATGGGGGCATCAGAACGGGGGATCAGCAGCAGACAATGACCATTGGGCCTGGGGCACAATGGGAAAGGTCAGGAGACTCAGTGCGGCACCAGCTCTGGCGGGCCATGAGGTGGGAGGGAGCAGGGCAGAGTGCCAGCGGTACCTGCAGAGGTAGGTTGTTGATGAGGCAGGTGACCCCAAAGCCCCCCAGCAGCAGGTTGGTGAAGGTGAAGGCCCGGATGGCGTTGGTGAGCTTCTGGATCTTGCGGTAACGGGGCCTAGCAGGTGACTTCTCAGCCCTGGCGCTGGGAACGGCAGGGGAAGAGTCACCAGCCAGCCCAGCGGGGTCAGCGCCCTGGGGCATGAGCACCAGGATTCACACATACACACACCCGTCCCCCCAGCAGGGTCCATGACCCGGGGCACCAGTGCGAGGATTCACCCCCCAGCTTCCTCAGCAGAGTCCATGCCCCTGGGCATGAGCGCCAGGATTCACCCCCCAGCAGCCCCACTAAGGTCTGCGCCCTGGGGCACCAGCACCAGGATTCGCACCCCCAGGCCCCCAAGCTGGGTCTGCACCCCGAGGGACTAGTGCCAGGATTCACACTCCCAGCCCCTCAGCAGGGTCCATGCTCCGGGTACACACTCTCACCCAGCTGCTGCGATGGCACCCATGCCCAGCGGCCCGTCCACACAGTCCTTCATGCGCCAGTCCATCACGTAGCCGATGAAGGGGCAGGTGACGAGGCAGAGCAGCTGCATGACCCCGAAGACGGAGGCGTAGAACCCAACTGTCCATCAGGGAGACTGTGAGAACTCGGTGCCCAGGCCCCGCCCCCAACCCCACTGCCACGGAGACTCCCAGGCCCTGTCCCCACGCCCATCAGAGCGGAGACCCCTGTGCCCAGTCCCCACCCCCAGTCCCTGATCAGGGAGGAGACCCTTATGCCCATGCCCTTCCCCATCAGGGGGAGAACACCACACCCAGACCCCATCCTTCTGCCCTATAGGGGAGAACCCTGCCTGCAGGCTCCGCCCACACATCACCTGGGGAGGGCATCAGTGCATCGGCCACCCCATGTGGGAGACCCCACTTCCACTTTTTGCCCCACTGTGGACTGGGGCTCCCCAGTCTCTTGGCAGCTCCATAACTTGCCAGAGCTGGGGCCAGGGACAGGACTCTGGGATGCTCCACAGCACTGCCTCTCTCTCCACCCCGGCCTGGCTAGCAAGGCTGGAAGGGCAGGGGGCAGGGCTGGCCTTGGCTACCCCCCAGGCGCTCCTACCTGTGTCCTCGGCCTGCTCCATCCGCTCCTCCGGCACTAGAGTCAACGAGGGAGAGAGACACAGACAGGGGATAAAGGGCCTGGAGAGAAGGTCCCCTCCCTCATCTTAGCTTATGTCCCTCCAACATCTTCTCCTCCCCACACCCATACCCAGCTCCTCCTGCTGGCCTCTGCCTCCCCCTCCTACCCCAACTCCCCACACACACAGCTCCCTCTGTGCTCTATGCCCTCCTGTGATGAAGTGATGATTTTCTGAGATATTTTTATGCATGACTCAGTTTCCCTCTGTATTTTGCCTTGCTACTTGTGGGCACAAAAGGATTAAAAGAGGTTCTGGGGGCAGGAGGTGTTGGGTCCCATAACAGCCTGGGGCCTGGCTCCACATCGATTGAGGGTCTGTAAAGCCAGTGGGAGCCCCAGCGATCCCTGGGATCCTCCTGCAGGTGGATGGACAAACTCAGCCCTTGGACAACAAACTGAGAGCCAGCTGGGCTGAGAGTTAGGGCAGGTTTGTGCTGAAAATCACATTGGCACGAAGAGTGGATGTGTCTGTGGCCAGAAGCCTGGCTTGCGCGGCCTCACTGAACAGAGCTCCCGGTGGATCCAAGAGGCAGGGAGGCCGCGTGACTGGCCATTAAGGAAGAGTGGGGCCCTCTGTGGGGCTCCTCCGAGGGACAGGGGAAACGACAGGGCACAGTACGCACCCTGTGGGTCCATGAGAGCAGGCCCCCACCTAACGCCTCCACCTGGCCTATGTCCCCTTGTGACCAAGTGGAAATTTTGTACTATGTTTATGAGCCCTATGCATGCCACAGTTTCCCTGTGCTTTGATTACTCTGCACAGGAGTACAAAGGATTAACCAGCTGTTCTTGGGGCAGAGCAAGAACCATGAGGTGTGTGTGTGTCCCGTGGCTGGCTGGGGTGGTACAAAGGGTAGGCAAAGGACTGGCGAAAACCAACCCACATCAATGGAGAATCCAGCAAGAGAGCGAGAACCCCAATGACCGGGCTGTTCACCCCAGCAGCCACCAGCCAGGAGGAGGGAGATATTCCCCTGGCCCTCAGATGGGAAGCAGCGCAAAGGCCCCAGCGGGAGAACAAAGGGGAAAGGAGGCTGGTGGCCAGGCCTCGGGGCTGACAAGGAGCCAGATGGAGATCGAGGCCATAACAGCTTGGCTGGCTAATTGCACCGGCGCTGGCCAGGCTGGACTATAGCTCAACCTTTGCCTCTCTGTGCTAACCCAAGGCCTTTCCGATGCCATGGGCAGGCGGGTAATACGCTGTTCCCCCGTGCCTGGGAAGGCTGCTGCTGTCGCTGCAGATATCACTGACAGTACAGCGCCCCGAAGGGCACAAACCTCCCGCAGGGGACTGGCTCAGCTGGATTCGCTGCAGGGAGCCACGGAGACAGACAGGGCTTGCTGGGGCCCTAGAGGCCATGGGCCTGCCCCTGTGGAACGAGGTGGGGCCTTGGGGGCCACGGACTGGTGAGAGGTTGGGCATGGAGCAGAGCAGAGCCTGTGGATCCATGACACCCCACCGCACCCCTCTGCTCCCCTCACCGTCTTGGCCGCCGCCTGTCACCTGGAACTCCAGCATCTTGTTCATCGCTGCCATGTAGAAGATGACGCGCAGCTGGGTCATGCCCATGGTGATCAGGCTCCACAGGAAGATGGGGGAGCAGACACTGCGGCGGAAGGGGATCAAGTCTGCAGGTGGGGGCGGGGGCAGGGGCAGGGAGAAGGCAAGGAGGAGATGTCACTGTCTGCCCCAGACAACCCCCACATCTCCTCCACCAGACATGATAGTACCCACCATCAGAGACACCATCACCGCAACAGCCTCAGCCAGAGCCATCCCCACACTCCCCTCACCGCAATTCCCGTCCCCCCCAACAGCCTCACCCAGAGTCATCCCTACGCTCCCCTGACCGCAGCCCCCATCCCCCCAACAGCCTCAGCCAGAGTCATTCCCATGCTCTCCTCACCGCAGCCCCCATCACCCCCCTACAAACAGACAGGGGTGTCTGTCACAGCCCACCTCTTCTCTCGTATGTGGGAAAGGTGAATCTCAAAACTGCTGGATTCTTGGCTTCTACTCCCAGCTCTGTGAGAGGGAGGAGTGGGGTCTAGTTACAGGGTGGAAGTCAGGACTCCTGGTTGTAGCCCAGCTTTGGTAGGTCAGTGGGATTTAGTGGTTGGGGGGGGGGGAGGGTGTTGTTGGAGCCAGGACTCCTGGGTTCTCTCCCACCTTGAGCCCAGTCTAGCAGCTGCGCAGGAGGCTGGCCGCGTGGGTGACAGCATGCTCCGTTCCCCCTGTGGGTTAGGGCCGCCCCAGATCCCGCAGGCAGAACCCAGCGCAACTTATCGGCGTCTGGCATATGGCCAGGGAAGGTCAGGCTCCCCGATCCCTCCAGCAGGTGGAGCCAGACACCCAGGCAGCACCCCTTGGCCTGCAGAGTCACTGCCTGATGCAGGAGGTACCTAGCCTTGCGCGGAGCAGCTGCCGGGCCATAAATTGGCAGGTTGGGGGCATAGCTGGCACCACCCACACACAGCTTGGGGAAGCCCCACACACACACCACCTGCTGCCCCAGGCTGCACCTCCCAGCCTGGGAGAGCCCCTGCAGCACCCAGCCTGTTAGAGCTTGGCACCTCCCAGGCTGGAAGAGTCCTGCACCTCCCTACGGTGCCCTGTACCCCCAGCCTAGGAGAGCCCTGCACTACAACCCCTGCACCCTCCAGCCTGGGAGAGCCCTGCACTCAGTGCTGGGTTTACAATGGAGCCGGGCCCATGCTCAGAAGGGGCCCTGGCCTGCTCCATTTGCACTGTGCCCCGAGACCCCACTGGCTCCCTGCCCACCACTTGCTCATTTCAGCCTGCCCACTGGCTGGCCGAGGGCTCCTCTCCATCCTCATCCCCAGCCCCCTGCTTCTCTCTGCCCCCGGCTGGCCTCCAGTGCATCTCTGGCTCCGAGCAGTCTCTGCTTCCCACCACCTGTGGGGCCCCGCATGTCTCCCCACAGCTGAGCCGCCTGGGACTGGTCCAAAAGCCTGGCCAGTCTCAGGTCTCAGCCGGTGCGGGGGGATGACAGTGGTGGGGAGAGGGGGTCTGGCAGGCCTCTCCAGGCAAGTGGGTCCTCAGGGAGCCCAGCCGGGGCAGGTCCTGTTTGGCTGATCGCGCCACTCCCAAGGGGCCAGAGCGATTCCCGGACCTGGGACCAGCTCTGGCTGAGCTGACAGTTCAGCCTGGCAGACAGCCACCTCCCAGCAGAGCCGGTGAGCGCGGCCAGAAGGCAGGGCGTGGGGGAGTGGGTCTCTCTCTGTGGCGGTGCTGGGCTGTAAGGGGGCAGGGAAGATGTGTGTGTTGGGGCACTAGGAGTGGGGGTTCTACGGGGGGTGCAGGGCACTTGTGATGGGGTTCTGGGCAGGGGTGGTGTTGTGCAAGGCGCTGTGCATTTATGGAGGGGTGGAGAGGGCACTGGGCATAGTGGATCCAGGGGAGCCCTGGCCATAGGGAGTCGGGAAGTGTTGGTTGGGGGGGGGCTGTGTGGCACAGCATGGGCCCGCCCCACGAGGAAAAGGGGTATGCTGGCAGCACAGGGCCAGGCAGGCCACTGTGCGCTTGGCAACTGCTGGTTTGTAAATAGTGCCCTCGCACTGGGCTGGGCGGAGCAGGGCCGCCCCTGCCATGCCATGTCCCATTGCCCATGGCTGGCCTTACTCTAGGGACTGACCTCCCCGCGCCATGCTCCATTGCCTTCATGGGGGCCTACAGATATGTTTGGGTGCTGGGCCCACAAAAGGTTAATCTGGCCCTGCCTGCACTGCACCCCCATGCAATCCTAGCCTGGGAGAGCCCTGCAACTCCCTACAGTTTCCTGTAGCCGCAGCCTGGGAGAGCCCCGCACCCGCCCGCACCCCCCAGCCTGACAGAACCCCTTCACACACACTGCTCCCCGTGGGGGTGTCAGACCCTCAGACACTCTTGGGTGGCCCTGTCATACTGCCGTCCTCAGAAAGCGCTGCCTCCCACCTTGGCAAAGCCCTTCCCCCTTAACACCTTGAACCTCCCCCCCACACACTCTGGGGAAGCCCAGCAGCCCCCAAACCCTGCCCACCCGGGGCGCACACAGCCCAGCAGGGAGCGCTGCAGCAGGACTTCCCTCACCCAGAGACCCTGCCCTCTGCAAGGTACCCTGAGATCTTCCCCCATGGGTGCTGGGGCCACCCCAGGCTGGGTCCAGCTGGCACTCACACTCGGCAGGCATCGTGGCCCCATGGCACAGGTCCTGCGTGGATGGGCAAAGCTCCTTGCCCTCCTGCAGGCACAGCCCCTTCTGGCTCAGGCGCTGCCCCACGGTGGTGACATGGGTGTAGAACCGATCGCCTGTCACCCTGTGATCCAGTGCCAGCCCGCTCAGCTTGATCTTCTTCCTGACCCAGAAAAGGGGGGGTGAGAGGAGAACCAGCGCCCCCTGCTGGGGGAGACCTACCACTGCCCCCCATTACACCCCCTGCTGCGGGAGACCGGCCACTGTCCCCATAGCGCCGCCTGCTAGGGGAGACCTGCCACTAACACCTGGTAGGAGAAGCTGAAGCTGGAGTAGCCGGGAGCTCCCCCCACAGCCAGTGCCCCCGCTCTGCTCCCTACAGCGCCCCCTGCTGGGAAAGGCTGGAGCTCCCCCACCCTCACTCACGTGTAGTTCGCCTCCTCGGGTGCCGGGAAGGACTCCTTGGGCCAGTTGACCAGGCAGTTGAGGAAGATGAGGCAGGCCAGGCCTGACCAGGTCAGCATAATGGCAATGAAGGAGACGCCAGCGTCGTAGATCAGCTGGGAACAGGGGAGCAGGAGGTTAGGGGGGGCGGATGTGGACAGGGAGGATCTGGATGGCCTCTTGGGCAGGGGTCACCCCGATACCCCTGATTTCTCCCCACGTAACCCAGGGGTGCTGATAGCTCTCTGTGAGCCCCCCAGTCCAGCAGCCCAGGCCACCCACTGCTCTAGGCCAGGAAGAGGGGGTTGAACCTGCCTTGACTGCGGGGAAGGTGACGGCCGAGGAGGCGTAGGAGCCAATCATCAGCGCCATGAAGGTGGAGCGCAGGTTCCCAAACATGTTGGGCAGCTGGGGAGGACACAGAGCAGAGAGGTTAGTGGGGGGAGAGGCACGGGGGGGTGGGGGACAGCTCCCTCCCCCTCCAGCCCATGGACACCACTTCTCCCTGCTGCAGGCCCCTCCCCGGGCCCGGCTCAGGCCCACTTTCCCTGAGGGGCCCAGCTCTCCTCAGGCCTGGGGTAGCCGTTTCCCTTTGACCCCCGCTGAGGGGGGTGTCTCACTAGGGGAGCAGCGGGTGGGGGAAGGGGACAGGAGACCTGGATTCCCCCTGGGGAGGGATCCTAGATACAGGGTTAGGGTGCCATGGGGGAGGGTTAGGGCTGGATCCCAACTCTGGACAGTGTCGGGGCCCCATGGGGAGGGGATCAGGGCTGTTCTTCCCCTCCCACAGATACAGCTGCAAGCAGCAGGGCACCTTGGTTTAGTAAACAGGCCAGCACGTGGTTGGGGCCCTAGCCCAGCTCCAACACGTGCCCTGCCTCCCATCCCCTCAGCAAGGGGGTGTGCCCCACGATCCTGCCTTCCTATTGGCTGCCCAGCTACCTGCCCAGATCACGTGACTGCTGGCAGGTGTGGGGGGGGGGGCTGTGCCTGTGCCAAGATGCAACATGACCCCACAGGGGTGGGGAGTGTGTAACCCCTCATATGCTGGATGGAGAGATTCCCCTCCCCTGACCCAGGCAGTGCCCCATGCCAGAGGCTGCAGCACTGCCCACTCTGCTCTGCCCTGACCATATAGAGCAGTTCCCATCCCTTTGCCAAGGTCACCTGGCAGCCCAGCCTTGAGGGCTCGCTGGCACCCAATGCTGGCACACTTCCCTGCTCAGAGTGCTGCATGCAGCGTGTGCACAACCCCCAGGTCAGACCCCATCACAGAGAGGGCAGCATGCGGGCTCACGCTGGCAGCTGGCATGTGGATATGGCCCCCAAGAACACCCCAGACCAGTTCCACCAACTGGGGACCCAGTCCCGCCCCCAATGGAAACCCTGCAGTGACATTCCCGCCAACCGGCCTTCTCTGTGTGCCCAGAACCGCAGTGCCCAGCTGCGCACCCCCCAGAAACCAACACAGACAGGAGCATTCAGCATGGGGCGAACACAGCCCCAGCTGCCACCTGACCCAAGCGGGCGCACAAGGCCCTCCTGTGCCAGGCTCAGAGCTTGGCCCTGTCCCCACCCCACAGGGCAACCAGCCCCACCCAGCCACGCTGGGTGCCGGGTCAGTGCCCCTGCCCCACCGGACAAGCCACCAGTCGGGCCCATGCAGAGGAAGCCAGGAGGCAGATGGCTCAGAGCCTGGCCCAGAGCGATGGGAGCCGTGGACGTGGAAGGCAGGCGAGTGGCACATCAGCCCGAAGCAATGAGGGGAGAGCATGCTGAGCCTGGGAGATGGCGAGAGACAGCACAGAGCCCCCTGCCAGTGAGCACGACGTTTCGCACCCCCCCCCACACACACACACACACACTGGGGACCCAGGCTGGGCCCCACCCTGAAAGCTGGGTGCTTCGCCACGCTCCTGAACCAAACCTCACATGGGGCAGGAGTGGCTGAGTGAGCTGTGACGCCTCCATTCTTGGGCACAGGCCTCCTCAGCGGGGCAGGGCACAGCACAGCAGGGAGTCGTGGAGACCCAAAAACAGGCAGGGGAGCTAGTCACTCCCCTGCCATGTGACTCCAGGCCAGGGTCCTGTCACACCACCTGCCTCCTCGGTACTCAGCTGTGGGGTTCAGGCCCCCATGGCAAGACCTGGGAGGAGACCAGGGCACTGACCCCTGTGGGCATCAAAGGGGGAGCCTTGGGACCAAAGATATTTTGTGCCCCTGGGGAGGGCTGGCATGCTACCTCTTCCTCCCCTCTGCTCCCCCCAGCCAGCCTTCCCAAGGGGCTCAGCACTCCCTCCTGCCCCACAGGGACAAGCACAGCCCCTCTTCCCAGGGGGGCACAGATCCCACACTCACCGTCAGCGAGGTGAATGTCAGGCAGATACCCCCGAAGCCATTCAGGGACAGGCCGAGGAAAATCAGTGGGGAGAGAACTGGGGGAGAGAGAGATGGGGAGAGTAGATGAGTCTGAGCTGGAGAACTTGAAAAACGGGAGAGCAGAGGAGCACAGGGCTGGGGGAGGGATAGCTCAGTGGTTTGAGCATTGGCCTGCTAAACCCAGGGTTGTGAGTTCAATCCCTGAGGGGGCCATTCAGGGATCTGGGGCAAAAATTGGGGACTGGTCCTGCTTTGAGCAGGGGGTTGGAATAGATGACCTCCTGAGGTCCCTTCCAACCCTGATATTCTATGATTCTATGACGGGAGAGCGGAGGAGTGCGGGGCTGGGGATTTGGGGAGATGGGAGAGCAGAGGGGCACAGAGCTGGGTGTTTGGGGCATGGCAGAGCAGAGGAGCACAGGGCTGGGGTATTGGGAGACTGGGGAGCAGAGAAGCGCAGGGCTGGGAGACTAGGGGACGGCAGAAAGCAAGATAAGCAGTGGAGATGGGGGGACTGTGTCAGTGGAGATATGGATCGGCTTCAGGAAACAGGTTGGGGAGACAGAGGGGTGGGGAGCTGTGGGAAGGGGCCCTCACCTCACCTGGGGGGGGTTGTAGGCAGCCAGGGCCATCACAGCACAGGAGACAGCAAAGCTGAAACTACAGGGACACAGGGTAGTAATCAGCATCCCCTATGGCCCTTCCCCAACCCTGGGATCCCTCCATCCCCATGGCCATCTCCCACAGTGCCCCCAACCTTGAGATCTAGCCACCCTAAGCATATCCCTGAGCCCCCCCCCCGACAGGACCAAGCCTCCCCCATGGGCACCTCCTGCACCCCCCACCTTGGGACATCCCCAGTAGACACCTCCCCCTCCATTTACCTTGTCCCAGCCACTTCTCCCATCTTAGGACCCAGCCCTGTTTCCTCAGGGCCACAGCTCCCAATCCATGGGCCCCGCTTCCACACAACCCCCACCCAGGGGGTTCCTGACCCCCAGACTCCCCCGCACCTGCCGAGAGGCGGAGGGGCCGGGGCCCCAGACGGTCCATGAGCACCCCCAGGGGCAGGGTGGCAGCGCTTAGCAGGAAGGACCCGATGGTGAAGCCCAGGTTCAGCATCTCCTCCTGCTCCACGCAGCTAGGCCAGTGGTTGGGGGGCAGCTCCAGAGCCGAGCCGTTGGTTCCGTTTTCACCTGGGGACATTTGCAGTGTCAGACCAGCCCCCCCCCACTCACCCTGACCCCCCTTGCCCCAGGGCCGTACCCACCTCTCACTCCATGACTGAGACAGGGGCCCCTGGCGGAAGCTATTTGGGGGGGAGCACAGAGTCTCGTCAGGGAGCAAGAAGGCTCATGCGGGGCAGGAAAGCTCTCAGTGGGGGAACAGGAGGCAAGAGGTTTCAACTGTTGAGAGCAGAACTCTCAATGGGGGCAACAGAGTCTCTATGAGGGTTGAGGGGGCCCTATGGGGGATAAGGGGCAAAGGGGGAGCAGGGGGCTGTCAGGGGGAGGGTCAGGGTTCCCATGGGGAAACAGGAGGCAAGGGGGGATGGGAGGGGCAGGGGTTCCCATGCAGGGAGCAGGATCCCATTGGGGGCAGGAGTGAAGGTGGACCCTGCGGGTCTCCAGCCTCCCAGCCCTGGCTCAGGAATGCTGTACGGCATCACGCCTGGCAGGGTCTGTGACAAGCACCGGTCTTGCTGTCACCCTGTCCACAAGCATGCTGCAGCCCCATGGGGTGAATGTCAGGGGGGCCAAGGCAGGATGTGTCCCTGCACAGCCTGGCACAGGGCAGACATGTACATCAGTGCCCAGGGCCCACTGAGGGGGGCCTGGCCTGGCCTGGCCCTAAGCAGCTGGGGTCAGTGGGAGGAGCCAGAGGCATGGTGCCTGTCAATCCCCCACAGGTCCGTCTGTGCCTCCCCGGGCTGTGTCTGGCTGGCTGTGCCTCGTGCCAGGCAGAGGACCCAGACCCTGTCAGATCCATCCACCCCGCCGGGTCTGCCCGCCTGCCCGCCCGCCCGCCTGCAATGAGGGGCCAGAACCAGCCCGGCTGATCTGGGGAGGAACCCAGCTATGTGGGGCCTCTGGCAGGGACTGAGCCCCAGCCATGCCCCAAACACACCCACATTCCCCCATTCCACCATCTTCCTGTGGCTCCTCCCACCCCATCTCAGCTCTGCCCCATCTCATCTCAGGCTCTACCCGTTCCCTGCTTGGCCACACCTGTCCACATCTCAGCTCCTCCTCGGATTGCCCACTCCCACTGCTTCCCTTTGCCCTCCATTCCTCATATCATCCCCCACTCCTCTGCTGATTGGCCCCTCCCATTTTATTGTTGTCCTTCCTTTTTCATGTTTGGCCCCTCCCACTTTCTCTTTGACCTTCCTCTCTCGTCTCCAGCTTGGTCCCTCCCACTCTCTCACTCAACCCCACTCACTTTCCCTGGGCCCCTCCCCTCTCACCTGTGCACATGTGGGAGTAGAAGCCCTCATGCTTGAGCATGATGAGCAGGGAGCCCCAGCCCAGCAGCACGGCGGAGAAGAAGAGGTTCTCCAGTACGGCGGTGCATGCCATCCACCAGCGCCGATGGTACGCCTGCTGCAGAGTCAGCGCCATCCTGGCTCCACTGGGGCCACAGGCTGAGGACACAGAATGACTGGCTCATTCTTTGCCCCTCCCGTCCCCTGCTTGCCCGCTCCCACTTTCTCTCCTTGCCCCTCCCCTCTCTAAATAAATGGTAAAGCATAGGAGGGGGGTGCTGCAGAGATCTGGTCTTATTTAACCTCTGCCGTACCAGTCTGGAAGAGGGAGTAAACAGCACAGTATCCATCTGTCAAAGAGACTTACCAGGCCTGTAGTGTCTGAGCCCCTCAATGCCTTTGTAGCCTCACACAGACAGGCCAATTATCCATTTTGTACAGATGGGGAAAACTGAGGTACAGAAAAGCCAAGTGACCTGCCCACGTCTGTGGCAGAGCAAGGAACTGAACCTAGGTCTACTCAGTCCCAGGCTAGCACCCTAACCACTGGGCCATCCTTCCTCCTATTGAAAGTAACAGATGCTATGAGCCAGGCCAGGGAAATACCCACCAGGGCTGGGAGAGCTAGTCCACCTGGGCAGGAAATGGAGACTGGCTGTTTTTATAGATCTGCTCTAGCTCAGCAGTGTTTGCAGGGTCGTTGTAGCTGTGCTGGTCTCTGTAGAGCTGAAAAACTGGACAGAAGTTGGTCCAATGAGCGGGGTTACCTCACCTACCTGGTCTCTCTCTTTCAAACACAGACTCGGTCAAGGCAGCTGGAGGTCAGACGAGCGGTTCACAGTGGGCCGGTCTGGCCTTGGGATCTGTGACTCTCAAATACCAACACGGGATTTCACATGGGAAAGCCAGTGCTTGATTTGTAACGAAAGAGTTGCCAGGCTCAAGCAATTGTTTTGCTTTCTTAACTGACACAGCAAACTCAGAGGTGTGGGGGCTATGATCTGCCAAGCCCAGCAATGTGGGGGCTATGATCTGTCAAGCTCTGAGGTGCCGGGGCTGAGCCCTGGCATAAATTAAGCACTGGGGAAAGCGGCAGCCAATCCAGTTGGAACAACCCGATCCCAAAGCCAGGCGCCCCCCCACCGGGGCTGAGGGCAGAGACTTTGAAAGAGACCAAGGTGGGGGAGTGGGGCAGCGCTCCCCGAAATGAGGCACAAGTTTGGAAGCTGGAGTGAAGAGGCCGGAGCAACATGGGGCTGGAAACCACGCCATCCCAGCCAGGCTTGCCCTTGGCCTGGTGCTGGGGCTGATCCTACACGGGGCTCATTTCCAAGGGGAGACAAAATGTTCGGAACTCTGTTGAGTTTGCAAATCTCCAAAGGTGGGATGAGAGAACATTAAGAAAGAGGAATTTAGGTGGGAAAATGGCTTCAAAGGGGAATAGCCCCCTGGGGGAAGAGCCAGGAGCCCTGTCGCTCCCTTACAGGGGGATGGATCCAGCCAAAGATTTGTTCCCTGGGGGAAGATCAGCCCCTAGACCAACCCGTGTACCTGAGGGGCTTGCCCTGCCCCTGGGCTGTCCCACAACCCCCTGGCGGGAGTGGAGGTGCTAGGCCTTCCCCAGCTGCCAGGATTCTCATGTCAGGCTTCTCTGGCAGCACTCTGGGGTACCCCCATCGCAGGGGTCTCCTCTCCAATGCCCCTGTATCCCTCCAACATCCCAGCTCTGTAATCGACTCAAGCATCCTCTTCAGCATGGCTTCCCGCCACCCGGCAGCCTCCGTGAGTCCCCCTCACCTTCTCTTCTTGTTCCAGCACAGCCAGCCACATGGCACTACCCCTCCCCAAAAATAGCCCAGAGTCAATACAGGGCTGGGCTGGGCCCGGCCTGGCTGACCTGCCACGTGGACCGCACAACGATCGCTTTGCCCCAGTCACACACGTGTGACACACTCCAGTCCCCTTGGCCCAGCTGGCCCCCTCCCCAGCCACCACCTCCCCTCACACCGCTCCCCCTTGGCACCTCCCACCCAAACTTACCCTCCGGAAGAAAGGGGTCGGGGCTGGGGGGGGCCCAGCTCGGTGATCCCGGGGCAGGGAGAGGTTGAGCAAACTCTCCCTCTGCCTCAAGCCACTGGCTAAGCGGGTTGTTTTTTTTGCCTGCTGTTTGCTAACAGCTGGGGTTACAAACGGCTCCGGAGTTGAAGAGCGTTTGTGTGTGTCTAGCAGTGCAGGAAGTGAAAAGAGCATGTGCCTGTCTGCTTTATAAGGGCATCAACTCTGCATATGTGTTTGAGAAAGAGAGAGCAAGAGCCAGGAGATGGATAAGAAGAATAAGGAAATATGAAGGAGCTAAAAAGGCAAAGAACAAAATAAAGAGGGAATTGAAAAATGAATAAAAGAATGAATGAGTTAAAGAAAGACTGAAGGAATGAAAGAACTAATGAGCAAAGAAAGAGTGAATTAAAGAAAGACCAAATTAAAAAAAGAACAGCCAAAAAATGAATTGAAGGAGGAAAGAAAGAATCAGTGAAAGAATTAAAGAAGGAATGAAAGGCAGAAGAAATGAAAGAACAAACTAGAGAGGGAAAGAAAGAGTGAGTTACAAAAAGAATGAATTAAAGAAAGAACAAAACGTGAAAAAAAGAATGAACTGAAGGAAAGAATGTATGAGTGAAAAAATTAATTAAAGAAAAAAACAGCAACGAAGAACAAATTGAAGGAGGAAAGACAGAATGAGCGAAAGCATTAAAGAATGAATGAAAGAAGAAATGAAAGAACAAACTAAAGAAGGAAAGAATGGGTGAAAAAGAATGAATTCAAGAAAAAACAAGCAAAAAATGAATTGGAGGAAATTCAGTGTTGATAAATGCAAAGTAATGCACACAGAAAACATAACCCCAATTCTACATACAAAATGATGGGGTCTAAATTAGTTGTTACCACTCAAGGAAGACCTTGGAGTCATCATGGTAGTTCTCTGAAAATATCTGCTCCATGTGAACTGGCAGTCAAAAAAGCGAACAGTGTTAGGAACTATTAGGAAAGGGATCGATAATAAGACAGAAAATATCATAATGCCACTATGTAAATCCATGGTAAGCCCACACCTTGAACACTGCCTGCAGCTCTGGTCGCCCCATCTCAAAAAAAATGCATGAGAATTGGAAAAGGTGCAGAGAAGGGCAACAAAAATGATTGAGGGTCTGGAACAGCTGGCACCTGAGGAGAGATTAAAAAGACTGGGACAGTTCAGCTTGGAAAAGAGGTGACTAAGGGGTGACATGACAGAGGTCTATGGAATCAGGACTGACGTAGAGAAAGCGAATGAGGACGTGTTATTTACCCCTTCACGTAACAGGAGAACCAAGGGTCACCCAACGAAATGAATAGGCAGCAGATTTACAACAAATGGAAGTACTTTTTTCATACAACGCACAATCAACCTGTGAAAGTCGTTGCCAGGCGATGTTTGGAAGGCCAAAACTACAACTGGGTTCAAAAAAGAATTAGGTAAGTTCCTGGAGGACAGGCCCATCAATGGCTATTGTCCAAGATGGTCAAGGGTTCAACCCCATGTTCTGAATGCGCCTAAATATCCAACTGCCAGAAGCTGGGACTGAACAACAGGGGATGGATCACTTGATAATTTTCCTGTTCTGTTCATTCCCTCTGACACACCTGGCACTGGACACTGTTGGACAACAGGACACTGGGCTAGATGGGCCATTGGTCTGACCCACTCTGGCCATTCTTATGTTCTTGTGAAAGAATTAAAGAATAGACAAAAGATAGAAGAAACAAAATACAGAATGAACTAAAGAAGGAAAGAAAAATGAGTGAAAAAAATGTTAGAAAGAACAAAGGAATGAAGGAAAGAACTAAAGAAGGAAAGAAAAAACAAGTGAAAGATGGAATAAATGAAAGAAAGAAGGATTAAGGAAAGAAAACAGGAAAAAAATGAATGAGAAAAAGAATTAAAGAATGAACTATAGAAATAAAAGAATGCATTAGAGAAGGAAAGAAAAATTAAAAATTAAAAGGGGAAAGAAAGAAGAAAAGAATGAAAGAGTGACAGAAAGGAAAGAATGAACTGATAAAAGGTGTGGGAGAGGAAGGAAAGTCATGCCTGACAAATCTAATTGCCTTCTGTGATGAGATAACTGGTTCTGTGGATGAAGGGAAAGCAGTGGACGTGTTATTCCTTGACTTTAGCAAAGCTTTTGACACAGTCTCCCACAGTATTCTTGTCAGCAAGTTAAAGAAGTATGGGCTGGATGGATGCACTACAAGGTGGGTAGAAAGTTGGCTAGATTGTCAGGCTCAACGGGTAATGATCAATGGCTCCATGTCTAGTTGGCAGCCGGTATCTAGTGGGGTGCCCCAAGGGTCGGTCCTGGGGCCGATTTTGTTCAATATCTTCATTAATGATCTGGAGGATGGTGTGGATTGCACCCTCAGCAAGTTTGCGGATGACACTAAACTGGGAGGAGTGGTAGATACGCTAGAGGGTAGGGATAGGATACAGAGGGACCTAGACAGATTAGAGGATTGGGCCAAAAGAAATCTGATGAGGTTCAACAAGGACAAGTGCAGAGTCCTGCACCTAGGACGGAAGAATCCAATGCACCGCTACAGACTAGGGACCGAATGGCTAGGCAGCAGTTCTGCAGAGAAGGACCTAGGGGTGACAGTGGACGAGAAGCTGGATATGAGTTAACAGTGTGCCCTTGTTGCCAAGAAGGCCAATTGCATTTTAGGATGTATAAGTAGGGGCATTGCCAGCAGATCGAGGGATGTGATTGTTCCCCTCTATTCGACATTGGTGAGGCCTCATCTGAAGTACTGTGTCCAGTTTTGGACCCCACACTACAAGAAGGATGTGGAAAAATTGGAGAGAGTCCTGCGGAGGGCAACAAAATTATTAGGGGCCTGGAACACATGACTTATGAGGAGAGGCTGAGGGAACTGGGTTTGTTTAGTCTACAGAAGAGAAGAATGAGGGGGGATTTGATAGCTGCTTTTAACTACCTGAAAGGTGGATCCAAAGAGGATGGATCTAGAGTATTTTCAGTGATAGCAGATGACAGGACAAGGAGTAATGGTCTCAAGTTGCAGTGGGGGGAGATTTAGGTTGGATATTAGGAAAAACTTTTTCACTAGGAGGGTGGTGAAACACTGGAATGCGTTACCTGGGGAGGTGGTGGAATCCCCTTCCTTAGAAGTTTTTAAGATCAGGCTTGACAAAGCCCTAGCTGGGATGATTTAGTTGGGGATTGGTCCTGCTCTGGGCAGGGGGTTGGACTAGATGACCTCCAGAGGTCCCTTCCAACTCTGATATTCTATGATTCTATGAGTGGATAGAGGAGAGAGACTGGGAGAGAGCAGAGGGAGAAGGATGTGGGGAAGAACAGAGTGGAGATTTCCAAATGGGACAGAAGAGAAGAAAGTGAGGCAGGGAGAACAGAGGAAAAGACCAGGTTGGCTGGAGCATATACTGGGAGCACGCAGATCTCACTAGTGGGGGTCACCCTTGGGAAACACCAGCATCACATTTGTGCAGGGCGTGTCTCACCCTTTCCTTTATGTCTCCCACAGGTCTCTGGTGCAGTTGGAGCCCTTTCCCCTCCCAGTTTCTCATTGGCCAGTGACCAGCCTTTAGCTGCTGTGATGAGTCCAGTTGCGCTAACACAACCTACAACTCAACCTTTAACTCCCTGGGTGCCACCCACAGGTGCCCCCTCCCCTGGCCGGCCTACGTGTTTGTGCTGCATGTGCACATTCATATGTGTGTATAGTTGTGCCTGTGGTTGTGTGTACAGATGGTTGTGCATGAAGAGTGGGTGTACATATAGTTGTGCACAGTGGGTGGTTGTACATGGTGTAAACATGCATATGTGGCTGTGTGTGTGAGGTTGTGCATGTGCGGCTGTGCCTGGTGTGGTTATGATAGCATTTATGTAGCTGTGCAAGGTGTGTGTCTGTCCCTGTGTGGTTGTGTGTGACACTGCATGGTGTGTGATTGCATGTGTGGTTGTGCATGGTGTATGTTTGTCCGTGTCATTGTGTGACGTGGATCCACAAGATCAGTGCTACACCCCCAGCTTTAGAACAGTCTCTTGGAGGAATCCTTCAGTGTGCCAGACCCCCGAAGGGTCTCACCTTCCTTCAGGGCAGGCCGTCGGGCCTCACTGCCTCCTGTGACTGACCCTCCTGCCTCACCCCATGAGCTCAATTCAGTGGGCCCAGCTGGGACAGACTCCCGGCACAGCCTTATCTGCTCTTAATGCCCCTCAATAAGTATTTGAGGGGCATTAAATAAATTAAATAAGTAAATTAAATAAATTAAATAAATACTTAATGCCCCTCAATAAGTATTTGCAGTGAGGCTCAGTGTTGTCCAAACAGCCGGGTTCAGTAGTCAGCTGTTGCAGAGCACAGGAGGGCCGTAGGTGAGCACAGAGAAACAAAGGTTAAAGCATGGCCCAAGTCCATCCTGCTCAGCCCAGAGCCCAGCCAAACTGTGGTGAACCCCTTGTTCAGGCTCTGTTTCAGTCTGACCTCCGTGGCCAGTTCCCAGGTGAGAGCCCCGACCCCTTCCCACAGCCAACTCCTAACCCCACCTGCCGCCTTCCTGATCTTTTGTTCTCCAGCTGCGGGGTTTGCTCAGCCTCCAAGCTGAGAGGTGGGGAAATCCATCCCCCTCTGGGTCACAGGCTGCTAGGCATTCACGTCCTGGTGTGTGGATTTGTTGTCTTAGGGGGCCGCCCTCAGCCAGTCCTTCCTTTTTAATGATCCGCTCAGGCAGCCACATAACATTCACACCGAGGTCTCCCAGCCTGCCCAGAAAGCAAACTGTCCTTTTTCCCCACTGTGGTAACAATACAACATAAAAAGGGGGGGGGTTGTGACATTCTATACCTAGGGGGAGCCTGCTGTAACCCCCATATTCCTCATTTTCATATAATCATGATCTTATGTATAATGCATGCCTTGGAAGGTATCAGGGGAACAGTTATGATCTGCTGAAAGTCTTTTCTCTGTCCATATATGTGTATAATTAATGCATATGAAGTTATGAGAATTATGTTGTATGGGGGTCACTAAAGCATGCTGTAACTTGGGGGAATCAGCCAGATATTAGCTCCCCAGAGGCAATGGCAAGGAAACCAATGCCCGGGCGGGATGTCAAACAACCCATCAACAGCAATTGTCAGCAAGGGGGCTACAATGCAGTGACTCACCTGCATTAGGCCACACCAGAAGAACTGCTCAACCTTGCTTGGAGAGGTTCCAAGTAATACTCACCTGACTCTGAAGGGGGTGGCAAAGCCAAGAGGGAGGAAAGAACATGACAAAAGGAAGAGACGTTTGCGATTCTCTTCCTCTATCTTCCACCTATATCTACAGCAGGGATCTCAAACTCAAATCACCACGAGGGCCACATGAGGACTAGTACACTGGCCCGAGGGCCACATCACTGACACCTTTTCATACAAAGATACAAAAGCCCCCCCTCCCTGCCCCTGGCTCCGCCCCCACTCCACCCCTTTAATGAGGCCCTGCCCCACCTCTTCCCACCCCTTCCCCAAAGTCCCCACCCCAACTCCGCCCCCTCCCTGCCCCTATTCCGACCCCTTCCCCAAATCCCCGCCATGGTCCCATCTCTTCTCTGCCTCCTCCCCTGAGCATGCTGCATCCCCGCTCCTCCCCCCTCCCTCCTGGAAAGTCCTATGCACCACCAAACACCTGTTTGGCGACGGGAACCGCTGGGAGGTAGGTGGAGGAGTGGGGACGCAGTGCGCTCAAGGAGGCGGGGAGCTATGGCGGGCCGCAGGAAATAACTCTGCGGGCCACAAGCAGCCCGCGGGCCACGCGTTTGAGACCCCCTGATCTACAGACACCACCACCAAGCAACTGAAGTGCTGACCAAAGGGGAGAGCCTGGCTGAAGAGCAACCAGCCAGTCTGTGGTGAGACGCATCTAAGTTTGTAAGGACATTGAAAATGTTAAGATCAGCTTAGAACGCATTTTGCTTTTATGTCATTTGACCAAATCTGACTTGTTATGTTTTGATTTATAATCACTTAAAATCTATCTTTATAGTTAATAAATTTGTTTGTTTATTCTACCTGAAGAACTGTGTTTGGTTTGAAGCATGTCAGAGACTCCCCTTGAGATAACAAGCCTGGTACATATCAATTTCTTTGTTAAACTGACAAACTCATATAAGCTTGCAGTGTCCAGCGGGAATTACTGGACACTGCAAGACTGAAGTTCCTAGAGTTGTGTCTGGAACCGGAGATACTGGCTAGTGTCATTCAGTTGTAAGTAGCTGGGAGCAGCTTACATGACAGAGGCTGTGCATGAACAGCCCAGGAGTGGGGGTTCTCACAGCAGAGCAGGGTAAGGCTGGCTCCCAGAGACAAGGATTGGGGTGACCTAGCAGATCACCAGTCCAGATAACACCAGAGGGGAATGTCACGATGCTAAAGGGGGCCGGTTCCCCAGTCCCATGACCAGAGACACTCAAGGGTATTAACTGCTAGGAAACAGGCAGCTGTCCTTCCCAGGACAGCCTGTGGATCTCCCCGCCACTGGATGTCAGTGGGTTAAACGCTGTGGTGGGGTTTGTGGAGGGGCTGGGGAACGCTGGGAGCAGAAAACTCCTGGCCTGTAGCCTCAGCTGATGGCTGGGTTCAAGTGGGAATGGCCCACGGGTGGCATAAAATAGCTGGCAAGGTGCTCAGCTCCCAGATGGCAGTCTCACCTGCAGGCATCAGCGTGATCCTGCAACAGTTCATGGCTCAGAGAGCACCCCAGGGGCCATGCTGGGAGACCGCTCCTCCCCAAAGCCCACTGCACTAGAGCCAGTTAGTTCTCCTTCCCCCTCTCAGGGTCTGTATGAAGTCACCCTGGGGCACAGCATCCCCAATGCACCAGGGAGACTCAGAGACTGTCCCCATTACTGGGGCTGGCTCCCACAGCCGCCCACTCCTGTTGGGGCCTGGCCCTCTGTCCCCTGTTCCCTACCCCCTCCACACACACACAGCCCCCCACCCTCCAAAGTAGACTTGTTTCCCTTGGGCTCCCCTCCCCACCACTGCAGCTTCAAAGCCCCGCCCTCCTCCCTCCTGGGTCTAATGCCAATGGCCTGAAGCCAAAGCAAAAGAGGCTGGAACTAAGGGGCTCATTTTAGGCCATTAACCCTTGGGGCCCACTGTGGCACGGGGCAGATTCTCCATCACTCTGAGCTCTCTCTTTCTCTCTCTCCGAACGCTCCACTCGGGCTCCACCATGCAGGCCGCTCTGGCCTGGGCTAGCCAGGTCACACTCGCTGATCACACTGCTGGCCTGGGAATCTAGGAACTCTGTCCCTCCACCCATCCAGCTTCATGCTGCTCCCCTGCCCCCAAACTGCCAGCCGTTGGCATCATTCCTGCCGTGCCTCCTTCTCTGTCCCTCCCCACAGCTGTTGCCCTCCTAGGCCGGCTCCTATACGTCCCGGGATAGAATAACCACAGCCACATGGCTGCCAGTATCGTTAAACCAGCACTACCCTCAGAACAGAGAGGTGCCTTACACCTGTACAACTTAGCACCCTTCCTCTATAGCAGAGGTCCCTAAACTGTGTGGTGTGCCCCCTAGACATTGGGGGGGGCCCAGTGGGCTAGGCCAGCCCCCATCGGGGGCAGCGAGGGAAGGCCACTCAGCCCTGCCCTCAGCTCTGCTCCAGCCCCGCCCCATCCCAGCTGCATGCCTGACCCCATCACCAGCGCAGCTCCGTACTTGGCTGGGGCCCAGCTGCTGCCCCGACTCCAGCCTCAGCCCCTAGCCACAGCTCCAGCCCTCTTATCCCGTCCATGCCCCACCCCCTCTGTCCGTGCACCCCCTGCTCCTGGCTGTGGCTCCAGGGGTGCACGGACAGAGGGAAGGGGAACATGACCCTCAAAAGTTTGGAGACCACTGCTCTCCAGGAATCCTATCCCAGTCTAAGCATCTTTCCACCACTGTAACTGCATCCACCCATCAGGGCTTTGCACCACTTGAAGCCTGGTCTACACTCAACGCTTGCACTGGCAAAGCTATGTCAGCAGGGGGGTGGGGCAAAATTTTACTGCCATCGATAAGCCTTGGTGTAGACACACACAGACTGGGGAAAACATCCTTTTGCCAGTACAGATTGAGGATGCAACCCTGTGTCATAGAGTACCTTGAGATCCGCTGATGGCAAGTGCCACAGACGAGTTAGATGTTAGGATTATGTTACACCAGCAAAAGAACGCTTTTGCTGGGAGAAGCTGGGTCTCAGCCAAAGCTCCACCGGTTTATCTATCTCAGCAAACCTTTTCTAGTGAAACAGGGATTCACTCTACGGGGAGAGCTGAAGGGGCAAACGGGGTGTGTGCAAACAAGACTGTTTCTGCTACCACAATGAATGCTCGGTTTGTCTGGCTGTCCTCCCACCTCAGGTGTGTCTGTCTATCTGCAGACTGTGATCAAAGTAGGGCAGGGACTATCCCTTCCTGAAGGTCTGGGAAGCCCCCAGAACACAGGGGTGTTTCCACAATCTAGCAGCCAAAGATCTAACAAGATGCAGTAACTGGAAGTTGAAACTAGATAAATTCAGACTGGAAACAATTACAAAATGTGAATGGCGAGGTAACCCCGGAAACAATCTACCAAGGGCTGCAGCAGATTCTCCATCACTGACAATTCTTCTGTCAAGATGGGATGTTTTTCTAACAGATCTGTTAGTTCAACCAGGAGCTAATTCAAGGAAGTCCTCAGGTCTGTGTTACGCAGGAGATCAGACTAGATAAGCACAGCGGTCCCTTCTGACTTTATAATCTATGACTCCTCATTATTACAGCCCATTCCTCAGCACATTCCCCACATACAGCATTTTCCCCAGCAGAGGCCACCACCCAGCCAAGATGAACAAAACCTCAAATCAGTTAAAAATAACTCCCAGCTGGTGCCTTTTAATCCAATTCTGATCTCTAAGTAGCTGGGATGGGAGAATTCAGCCTCTGGCAAAACAGAGCTGCCATGTAATTAACCTGCAGTCACAACTCTAAATGAGACAAAGGCAGGGAAACAACCCAATTAAAATCCTGGGTTGTTAAACATGTAGCACAGCCGGGAGCTGTTAGACCAACATGGTTATTAAGGACAATGTGCTCTGCAGGGAGCAGCACGCCCCCTGGTGGGCACACAATGCACCATCAGTCCACTGTGCTTGCCAGGATGAGTTGACTGAAATAAGAGACAAACGCTTCACACATGCATGGATCTGCAGCCACCTCTGGGGTGGGCGGTGATTAAAGGAGAAGAGTGACATCCCTCTACTAGGAGTTTGGGACAGGAAGTGAAAGGTTAACTGCAGGGGAGGGAAGGTTATCCAAACTTGATCAGGACCCTGCCATTCACACACCGATCCCAGTGACAGTACCAAGGATATTTAGTGTGCACAGCAGAAGAGGAGCTGAGCTTTACAGCGCACCAGGAAGATAGGCCCCTGCCCCAGCAGCACAGCGCCCCCTAGAGCTACACTGGGGTGCTAGCAGAGGAAAAAACAGGCAGATGTCAACCTGGCCTCCTGCAGAACTGCTCCCCATGCAGGAACTGACCTCCATTAACCCTTTTCTCCCATGAAGTGGTAAAAGGACAGAACAGGGCTCTTAGCCCCCGCCCCCGGACTGGCCTACTAAATGGGAGGGTCAGCTGGACAGGGCAGAACTGGGATCCTATCCACTCAGGGATGGAGCAAGGTGGGGGTGGGAGGGGGAAGCGGAACATCCCATTGGTGTATCCCAGCCCCTGCTCTTTGAAATGTCCTTGCAGGAAAAGACCTAGCTTATACACAACTGCAGAGGTTTTATTGATGGGGGGACACAGGGTTGAGTCCAGGATACAATGCTGGGGCCACTGGGCCAATCATGCACGCTGTCCATGTTCAAGAGGAAGCCCCTACACTGGCCCTGCCCCCTGCTGCATCCTCTTCATCAGCTCCTCATCCTGCATGGAAAGCTCTGTCAGTTTCTTGCCCATGCGCTCGTGGATGTCCAAGTACTTGGAGACACAGCGGTCCAGGCACACAGACTCCCCCTTGGAGAGCTCTGCCTCCTTGTAGTGGGGAGGGACGCACTTCCGGTGACAGGCGTTGGTCATTCTGGGCCACAGAAGGGGAGAGCATGAGAATCCACAGGCGCCCCTTTGACCCCAGTCCTGCCTCCTCCCCACAGACCCCCTACTATCCCAGCCCTGAGATCCCTCCACACCCTGCCCACAGTTCTGCCGGTGCCCCTGAATCCCAATCCACAACCCCTGCTATTGCAGTTCTGGACTCTGCCAATTCCTCTCAATCCCAACCCATGGACCTTTGATGTTCCAGTCCTCAGCTCCAGCACACCCACAGCCCACCAGTTACCCTTCATTGTGACCCACATCCCATCTTGATTTAAAACTCATCACTGATGGAGAATACACCATGACGCTTGGTAAATTGTTCCAATGGTTAATTAATTTCACCATTAGAATCTGATGCCTTATTTCCAGTCTAAATTTATCTAGCTTCAACTTCCAGCCATTGAATCATATTAGACCTTTCTCTGCTAGTCTGAACACCCCATTATTAAATATCTGTTTCCCATGTAGGTACTTACCAACTGATCAAGTCATCACCTAACCTGCTCTTGGTTATGCCAAATAGATTGAGCTTCTGGAGTCTATCACTAGGCAAAAAGAAAAGGAGTACTTGTGGCACCTTAGAGACTAACCAATTTATTTGAGCATGAGCTTTCGTGAGCTACAGAGAGATTGAAGTGTTCAATCTCTTCAATGTTCAATCACTTCAATCTCTCTGGTCACGCAATTACAGACATGAAGGTCGCTATCTTAAAACAAAAAAACTTCAAATCCAGACTCCAGCGAGAAACTGCTGAATTGGAATTCATTTTCAAATTGGATACTATTAATTTAGGCTTAAATAGAGACTGGGAGTGGCTAAGTCATTATGCAAGGTAGCCTATTTCCCCTTGTTTCCCCCCCCCCCCCCGACGTTCTGGTTAAACTTGGGTTTATGCTGGAAATGGCCCGCCTTGATTATCATACACATTGTAAGGAGAGTGGTCAGTTTGAATGAGCTATTACCAGCAGGAGAGTGAGTTTGTATGTGTGTATTTGGGGGTGTGTGTGTGAGAGAGAACCTGGATTTGTGCTGGAAATGGCCCACCTTGATTTTCATACACATTGTAAGGAGAGTGGTCACTTTGGATGAACTATTACCAGCAGGAGAGTGGGGTGGGAGGAGGTATTGTTTCATAGTCTCTGTGTATATAATGTCTTCTGCAGTTTCCACAGTATGCATCCGATGAAGTGAGCTGTAGCTCACGAAAGCTTATGCTCAAATAAATTGGTTAGTCTCTAAGGTGCCACAAGTACTCCTTTTCTTTTTGCGAATACAGACTAACACGGCTGTTACTCTGAAACCTATCACTTGGCAGCATATTTTCTAATTCTTTAATCATTCTTGTGGCTCTTCCTTGGACTGTCTCTAATTCTGATGAAGACAATGATCCCTGCTGGCTTTCAAACCTACGACACCCTAGCAAGCTGCACTCGGGCGGGGGGGGGGGGGGGAGAGATGGGATGCAACCCTGCCCTTGACAAGGAGCTGCCGCGATGGGGTCATTACCTGTTGTACATGTCAGCCATCATCTCCACCTCCAGCTCGGCTGCCAGCTGCTGGGCCCTGAGAGGATCCATTGCGCCCCAAGTGACCAAGTCCCCGGCGTTGGGCTGGGAGGCAGCGACTTGCTCCTGGAAACACACAGAGCCTGTCAGAGCTGCCACTCCCGCCCCCTAGTGCAGCCCCCCCATGCCCCAGGGTCGCAACACGCCCTGCCAGGGCACCCTTGGCCCCCCACCACTACACAGTGCACTTCCCCCACCCCCCCCAGGGCGGCACCCAGCCCCCCAGCACCACCCTGCGCAGTCCCCTCCATACCCCAGGGCGGCAGCACCCCCCGGGCAGTCCCCCCAGTGCGGCCACCCCGACACGCTCCCAGGGGAACGCCACCGCCCAGCCGGGCCAAGCGACCCCAGCCAGCGCACTGGGGGACTCCGGCTCGCGGGGAGGGCACGCCCCACACCGCAGAGCTGCCCCCGGCCCTGGGCGGGGACCCCTCACCCTCCGCGCCCCTCGGGGGATCACTGAGCCCCGGGGTCAGAGGTCAGGCCCAGGCCGGCCGCTTTCTCCCGGATGTAACGTGACTTTCCCCCGCCAACCGGAAACACGCGAGGAACAGGCGCTTCCGGCATAATGGGCCCCTCTCCCCTCCAAGGTACAATAGAGTCAGGTTTGGGGGAGAGAGCGGTCCACTTCCGGTGTGTGGCGGACTCAGCTACTACAGAGTTACCTGCAAGAGAGCAGGAGGAAATAGGCAGGAGACTAGGGGGGCCAGTTCCAAACCATAGAGATGAGAAGGGACTGGAGCTAGAGCGGAGAGGCGCTGACTCCAGAGGAAGGCGGGGAATCCAATTAGAGCACAGAGCTGGGGAAGGACCTAGGCTAGAATATACCCGATGGGAAACGAAATGATGGACGCAGCCATGTTACCATAGAGATCTAGCTGTTGCTAGACAGGCTAGGAGGTCTAATGACCTTAGAGTAGTCGGAGGGTCAGTGTCCCACCACGGCGGGAGGAGGGGGTGTAGGGGCTCAGACCCAGAGGGTGCAGGGGAGGGAGAGAGGCCCCTGGGTCACCTGCCTCAGGTTGGGATCCCGCAGGGCTTCGGGGACAGCAGGGATGAGAGCAGCTGGGAGAGTGTGGGGTTGGGGTGATCGCAGTGGGGCCTGTCAGGTAACAAGGGCTGTGGGAGACACGGGGTGGGGTCTGTCAGGCGGTGGGGTGACAAGGGCTGTGGAGGTTCCAGGGGTGGGGGATGATCACAGTGGGGGCCAGCAGACAGTGGGGCTGTGCTGTTATTTGCAGTATGCCTCCAGAGTCCCCTGTACCTGGAGCAGGAACAGGACAGGAGCAGAGTTGCCAGAACCCAGGCACAGCCTGGCTCCGCCAACCACTCTCTCCATTTGACCCCAGGCAGCACCTCCCGCCATAAGCCCTTGGGAGAAGTGGCAGCACCACAGTGTGGGACCTGGGACTGACCCTACAGCCAGTGGGGCTGGAGCGGGCCCTGCCCGATCGCTCCCCAAACACATCACAAAAACGTGCCCTCCCCTGGCTGCCAGTCTTACCACCTGCCCGCCACTTACGAACGCCCTGGGCTCAGTGTCCCTGTGGCAGTGCCTGTCTCTGCTGCTGCCGATTTTACAGGGAAAGGGGCGTCTGCCTCTGAGCCAGTGACGGTCTGAGCCTCCTGCTAAACAGAGTCAGGCAGCTCGTCCTAGGCAGTGTGTGTGCCCAGTTTGTCACACCCCACCACCATATTATACATGGGGAAATTGAGGCACAAAACGAGGCAGGGACTTGCCCAAGCTCAGAATCAGGACAGAACCCAGCTCTCCTGACTCCCAGTTCCTGGCTCTACCCGCTAGAGCACGTAGCTTTTGCCTTTAGAAGGGAGGCAGCAGCACAGTTGAGCCTGAGATGCCAGGGGAGGCAAGGAACAGCTGCAGGAGAGCCACCCAGGGCCTGGATTAGGTGAGACCTACCCTGTCTTTTCCTTCTGCCCCATAGATGGTGCCCATGTGACTGCCTAGCTGGCTGGGTTGGCATGCCAGGCCCCAGAGCTGCCCTGGGGACTGAGACAGGTTGTATTACATAGAGTGGCCTAGATGCTCCACAGAGACATTCATGAGGATTGGGAGGTGGGGCATTCTCCTTCCTGATTGGCTGCCTGTGCAGTGGGGAGTGACCCCCAAATCCCTGATGCTCCAGCAGCCAAGTGCCTGCATCTCACAGGCTCAGGAGGGGGACCCTGCCCAGTGTTTGAGTGTCCCCAGCAGTGCAGAGAGGAGGAGATGCCCTGTGGTCCCCCTTGCACTCCCCCATGGCTCTGTTAGCTCCAGCCCTGGGGTGCGAAGCTGAATGGCTGGTGCCCCCTGGAGCAGGGGCAGTACCCTGGGTTGGAGGAGGGAGAGGCTCCAGGAGCTGTCAGGGTGGGATCCCCTGTGGCTGTTTGTCCTTTTGATTCACTCCCCATTTGAGACCTCTCAGCACAAGAGTCCCCTGCCAGGCTTAGTGGCTGCACTTTCTGCCTGGTGAGGTCCCCCCTTAGCCCCTCAGGCTCATCCCAGGGGGTCTCACCAATGTGACCCTGGGAGAGTGGACCCTCCCCCCCCCCGGAGGACCAGGGGAGCTGGCATTTTGGAGGAGTATAAATGAAAGTAACATCTGTTCCTCTCCTGGTAAAAATAGGCTGTGCTGCCCTGGGAGAGGGGCTGTGCCAAGGGCGGTGACACAAAGAGCGGGACAGACGGGGACTGAGCCCAGAACCAGCCCGCCCCAAGGAGCAGCCAGCAGGTGGGTGCAGCCCTAGCCAGCACCCCTATACCAGGGAGGGCCCAGAGGGGGGGAGGGGGGCATTGAATGAACCCCTCTGGTAGGGGGAGCTGGGTCGGGCTGGAGACACCACCTACCCTGGCTTATGGTACTCAGGGTGCAGAGAGGGTCCACTGCCCATTGCCCCGGCTCAGGATCCCCCAGAATCACCCCAACCCCCTTTCTTCTCTCAGGCACTGGGGGAGCCCCTGGAATCACCCCAACCCCCTTTCCTCTCTCAGGCACTGGGAGAGACCATCTGAATTAAAGGCAGCTCATGGGAGCCCAGGTCTGGAATAACAGGGGCTGCAGGTTGGGATTGAGGGGCACTGGCAGAGCAGGGGGGAGCCCTGGGCTGGACTAGCAGGGGGCAAGGGGGTGGGACTGAGGGGCACTGGAAGAACTGGGGGGAAACTGGGGCTGAGTAGCAGACAGAGGTGGGTCAGGATAGAGGAGCACCGGAAGAACTGGGGGAACTGGGTAGCAGGGAGCATTTGGGTGGGATTGGGGGGCACTGGCAGAACGGGAGGAGCCCAGGGCGGGGTAGCAGGGGGCAATGGGGCTGGATAGAGAGGCCCTGGCAGAGCTGGGGTGGAAGCCCATGGCTGCAGGCAGTTTACCATGAGGAGGGTGGCAGAGCCGTGGTTGGCAAATCCCCCATTCTCTGGGTCTGGCAGAGCGGTAAATGTCAGGGGTATATTTAGCTGCTGAGGAGGGGGGTCACCTGCCCCATCTCCAAGGTGCCCTCCCCCCACTGCAGGTTTGGGGCCTGAGTCAGAGGCCTGTTCCAGCCCCTGGAGATTGTTTAGGAGGGGATGGGGGGTGGGGCATCTTGCTTTAAAGGGCCAGCATTCAGCCTGGCCTCCTGTTCCACTTGAAAGAGTTGACAGCGCAGCCAGCCCAAAAGGGCTCTCTCCTTGGCTGCCTCCCCAGCTCTCTCAGGTTTAGGTAGGTTCTACAGTATTACTGCATAGTCATACTTCGCTGGTGTTCATTGCATGAACCAGGGGCTCCCGGCACCCCTCCATACCCCTCCACAAGGTCCCTGGGTGCAACCCTCCATTGCAGGGACACCCTGCAGCTCCCCCACACTGGGGGCTGTGTGTGCCCCCATTTCCTCTCCTCCCAGGTTTCCCCAATCTCTCCCCAACACCAGGGTGTCTGTGTACCCCCCATTCTCCCTCCCCCGCTCAGTCTCTCCCCCAGGCTGCATTCCCTTCCCCCCACCCCTGAGAAAAAGAACTGCATTGGAGCTGATGTAAGCTCCCTATTGCAGGCCCCACAATGCCATGGTATGGCCAGCAGAGGGTGAGCCGATGCCTCCTGCCCTCTCCCCCCCCCCCCCAAACTTGGCAATGATGGGGCTCAGGGGTGGGGGTAGACAGAGCGCTGGGGGGGATCTGGTAGGTCGGTTCCTAGGCAGACCAGTCAGGGGGTCTCTCGCAGCCCCTATCCAGGTCTCTGCTGCCCCCATCTGACCTACATGCCTCTTGTCTCCTTCCAGAGATGGAGGCACAGGAAGGCACCCCTCGCCCCAAGCCAGCAGCAGAGGTCCCCGGGGCCACGGCTAAGGAGACTGAAGGGGTGGCTGGGACTGGAGCCAAGGAGGTGGCTCGGGGTGGGGATGGGCTGGGGGAGAAGGGGAGAGCTGGTGATGCTGGGAGCGATGCTAAGGAGGGTGGTGAGGCTGGGGGAGCAGGGGATTCTGGGAGAGATGCTAAGGAGGGCGGTGAGGCCGGGGGAGCAGGGGATTCTGGGAGCGATGCTAAGGAGGGTGGTGAGACAGGGGGAGCAGGGGATTCTGGGAGAGATGCTAAGGAGGGAAATGAGGCCGGGGGAGCAGGGGATGCTGGGAGTGATGCCAAGGGGGATGGTGAGGCCGGGGCAGCAGGGGATTCTGGGAGTGATGCTAAGGGGGGCGGTGAGGCTGGGGGAGCAGGGGATTCTGGGAGCGATGCTAAGGGGGGCGGTGAGACAGGGGAGCAGGGGATTCTGGGAGTGATGCTAAGGGGGGCGGTGAGACAGGGGGAGCAGGGGATTCTGGGGCTGGAGCACAGGAGAGGGAAGACAGAGGGCAGGGGGCTGGGGCAGAGGAAAGGGAGGCAGTAGGTGGGTCTGGGCCTGAGCCGCAGGATGGGGCTGGAGGGGCCGAGCCAGAGACGCAAGGGACTGAAGCCGAGGAGGCCAGCAGTGCCATGGCCAGAGAGGTGAGTGTCCCCCTGGGTCAGATGGGGTAATGGGAGGGAGGAGGGAAACCCCCACACACACACCTCCCCACAGGGCCAGCTTGCCCAGAAGGTGCTGCGGGTGCCCATGTGCCCTCCCTGATGCTGTGGGGGCACAAGCATGCCCAGGCCATTGCAGGGAGCGGCCCAGGGCTCGGGATGGGCTGCGGGACTCAGCCCCAGTGGTAACCCCCAGGGGAGGTGGGTTCAAATCTCACCTGGGGGGGGGCAGGGAGGCCATGCGGGGGAGGACAGGAGCTGGGGCCAGCAGCAGGGGTCTGGGATTTGGGAGGCAGGGGCCTGTTAAAGGGCTTTGTTCCCTCCCAGGGGCATGGTGGGAGCACCTCAGAGGAGTCGCTGTCCCCAGAGATGGGGGGCGAGGAGAAGGCGTGGGGTGAGCCTGCACCCAGCTCCCCCGACGAGGGGCTGGCCAGCCCCACAGGGGACGCTGCCTTTGGGAAGGAGACTGGGGCCTCCCAGCCGGGTAAGGCCAATTGAATCGGGGAATGAGGGTGGGGGAAGAATACAGGGAGAGGACACCCCCTCACCATGCCCCGCACAGCCCCCAGTCCCTCCTCCCACTCACACAGGGTCACCCCCCCCCAGCACAGCCCCCCAATCTCAGATACCCAGTTGAGCTTGTGGTGACTGTTTTTAACATCAAAACTTCGTAAATTCCTTTCAGGAGGCACCTCCCAAGGCCGAGAAGCCACTCCAGGTGGCAGCGCCAGGTGAGAACACCCGCAGGGGTCCCCAATATCGGGATAAGGGACTCCTACCCCCAGCACAGTGCCCCCTAGTGCCAGGCAGGGAGGTGGAGGCATACAGCCAAGGATGAGGAGAGCCTGCCTCCCCCCTCCCCCGCCCACCACAACACACCACCCCCTCTCTTCCTGGCCCATTCTCTGATCCGCTTCCCACCTCTTCGCAGCACTGGAGGGACAGCCCACCAGGACAGTGCGCAGAGCCCTGCACCTGAAGGAGCTGCGCCCCCCAAGGAGAAGCCAAAGAGACCAGCGCTGGATCGGAGGGAGCTGACCCGACCCCGCCTGGCACCCAGGGCCCAGTCCCGCAAGGCCCTTGTGGAAAAATTTGGGGGGTGCGCAATCCCATATTAACCTCCCCCAGGGACTACGAATGAGCTGGCCTACACACGAGAGGGCGGAGCTTGGAGGAAAGGCCCTGGTCGGTCAACCAATGGAGAGTGCCCAGTGCCATTAAAGAGAAACACGCCAAGAGAGGGTGTAGGGAACTCACTGCCACTGGACATTAGGGGCAAAGTGCTCGGGGCAGCTCTTGTGGCACCAAGGGTACCATGGGGGTTAACCCCTTCAGCTCCTGACCCACGCAGGCTCAGGGGCTGGTGGGACAGGGAGGAACGGCCGAGGGATGCGGGAAGGAGGGGACCTGGCCAGTCACTGCCCTAGCTCTGGGGCTCTGCAGCAGAATGCACATTGTCCCTTCTCTCTGTGACACTGGCCCCTCCATCCCCCCTGCAGGGCAGCCAGCGGCCCTGCCCCCAACATCAAGAAGACTGGAGGTGCCAATGCCATCAAGAACATGCTGCTGGAGTGGTGTCGTGCCAAGACGCGTGGCTATGAGGTGAGAGGCTGGCAAGGGTGAGGTAGGTGCCTTCATGGGCGTGACTAGACCTGGCCCCGGCGGGAAAGATGGCAAGGGAAGGCAGCTGGGATAGCCCCTGGGAAGCATTGGGGTAGGTGGCTGGCCCAAGGGGTACAGCATCCCCAGGTAAGCAGCTCTGCCCCAAGGCCCTGGGTCACCAGTGCTGACTACAACATGGAGAGGAGGAAAAGCAGGAGACCGCCTGCTGCACCAGGCAGGCCGCTGCACCAGGCAGGCCTCTGCCACGCTGGACACAGCGCTGCCACCCATCCACTGTGGAGATGGCCAGAGAACATAGCTGCCAGCTTTCTGCCCCAGCCTCTCTTCCTAGTGCATGGGAGGGGTGGGCAGCCCACAGGATCGGGCACCCCCAGACCCTGCAGTGTCCGCAAAGAGACTAGGTGGGAAGCCCACCCAGTGCTAGTGGGGCTGACTGGCTCTCCCTCTCTGTGTCCCTACTCTACTGCCCGGCTGCCAGCATGTGGACATCCAGAACTTCTCCTCCAGCTGGAGTAGTGGCTTGGCCTTCTGTGCCCTCATCCACAAGTTCTTCCCTGATGCCTTCGACTACACAGCCCTCGACCCAGCCAACCGCAGGGAGAACTTTGCTCTGGCTTTTGCCACTGCTGAGTGAGTGCACCCTACACCTCACCCCCCCCCATGGCCAGGGTAGCCAGCCCCACCCAGGGAAGGGCCTCTGCCACCCATCTGACATGGGGCTTGGAGGCAGAGTAGGAATCTGCAGTTGCCCAGTAGGGGTGCTGTGACACCAGAGATGGGGAGGAGCCTGCACTGCCCAGCCCCACCCTCCCCAGCAGCGGGCGTTGGGTGTAGCACCCCACCCTATGTCAGCTGGTGTAGGAGGCCCTGCCGGGTACTGCATCCAATAATTGAGGCTGTTAGCTAATTAGCGGTACTCCCTCTGCAGCTTGGCCACCCTGTGGCTCCTCGTAGCTCTGCCCTCTCCCCTAACCAACTCCCTGAGGCCAGAGCACAATGACCCTGACAGTGTGGCCCCAGCCAAATGCAATCAGGGCAGGGCACGACCCTGCTGGGACGGGGCTGGAAGCAGCTCCAGGGATGCACCCTCCAGCCTGGACTGGACACTGAGCCCTTCCCTAGGGCACCAGCTCCGCGGTCCCTTCCCATCCCCTGTCACAACAGGCACATCCCGGGCCACTTCCTCTTTGCCCACTGGCATCAAACACTGCCTGGTTTGCAGAGGGGCCATGGCTCAGGGTATGGGGTCTTTGGCCAGAGAGGTCAGTGGGACAGCCATGCCCAGGGGACACACAGAGCAAACCAAGGGCGCCGAGCCGAGTGGCCGAGGGCAGCACTGCTGTGCTGACCCCTTGCCTCTTGCCCCACAGGCAGCATGCTGACTGCGCCCCACTGCTGGAGGTGGAGGACATGGTGCGCATGAGCTTCCCGGATTCCAAGTGTGTCTACACCTACATCCAGGAGTTGTACCGCAGCCTTGTGGACAAGGGGCTGGTGAAGACCAAGAAGAAATAGGTGGAGGGGGAAAGCAGCCGGCTGGGGAAACAAAGATAGCGCCCGGTGGCATGGGTGAGGAGGGGCTGCCCAGACATTCAGCCTGGCACAGGGGGGCATGGGTGAGGAACTGCAGGGGGTGCTACCCTCCCTCTCACTGCCCACATGGGAGCGAGGGGCTCCCCGGTGCCTGGACATCACCTCCCCTCAGAGGGGCAAATCAGGCTAGGTATGGGGGGGTGGGGTGCTGCGTCCACCCCAGCAGTCCAACCCCACCAGGACACCACTATGGGGTGTGTGTGTTCTTCCTGCAGGCCCATGCAGGATGGGGCACCTCCACCCCCGCTCCAGTCGGCCTAGCCCAGCCCCTGGCTGAGCTTGGAGCCTATGTCTGAACGCTCCATGGGGGCAGGGCAGAAGTGGGCATGGGTGGGGAGGGGGTTTCCTGCTCTGGAGAAAGACCTTGCCCCCCCCACCCCAGAGCATGATGGGGAGGAGCTATCCTCTCCCTCCCCCAACCTCCTGAATAAGAAGTGCAGGGGGCTCAGCACTGCCCCTGTGGTGGTCCCCTCCATGAGGCGGAGGGGGGGGGAGGGGAGGGAGAGAGAAGAGGGTCCAGCAGGGCAGGGCAGGGCAGCTCCAGGGGCATCTTCTCTCCCGTGCCCAAGGTAGGGAAAGGGGCATGGGGTGGTTACAACAGATTCTTTCTAGTGGCCTCTTTTCAACAGAGCCCCCCCAAAGCCTGGTTCAGCCTTGTGTGCAATGATCAGCAGTGGAGCCCACTGCTCGGCAGACCTGCTACGGGCAGGATACCCGGGCCTGGCCCCTGCCCCCTCTCCCAGCCCCTGGAGTCCTTGGCTGAGGATGCCCCAGCTGGTGGGAGAGAGAGTGAGCTTCCAACAAGTGCCACCAACGCCTCACTGGGGTGTGTGGTAGCTGGTAGGGACCCCTCCAAGGCAGAGTTCCTGAAACAAGGCCCCCGTCAGGCAATCTCCTCGGGCATTCGACCGCCACAATACCTGCTCCCACTCTCCCAACAGGTCTGTCCTGGAGCTCTCCTCAAATGTGGCATCTCTTCCACTGGTAACCCTCCACAGCCATCTCCTGCCTGCCCCCTTCCCAGTGCTGCAGGAGCCCCCGGCTCAAGCGTGCACGAGAGACCCTGGCAGATCCAGTAAAGCAGAACTGCTCCAAGCTCAGGCAGACCCGGGCAGTTTCTTGTGGTTCGCTCGGGAAGGTCAAGGGCTCCATCAGCGTGGGCCACATTCCTTGGCCAGGGCGCGACAGCTGTGGCTGGGGCTGCAGCCCAGTCAGGAGCGATGCCCATCAGCAACAGGAAGTCACCTCTGCCCCCTGCCAACGCCAGATGAGCACATTTCACCATAGGGCTGGGGCCAGCGCCCCTCATGGATCCCAGCTGGCAGCAGGTGTCTGGAATGTGTCTTTGGCTGACCACAGTAGGGCTAGTTCTCCTGGCACTCCCAGGGTCCATTAGAACCAAGCGCCCCACACATAGGGCTACCCCCACAGGAGCTGCCTGGCTCCAAGTGACAGTGAACCAGGGCTGCCTTCCTGCTGGTGCCAGTGTGACACCCAGCTGGGTACCAATGATCTTCCAAGCTCTGAAGGGCCTTGTCCAAGTGCAGGCTTCTGCTCTGGGCCTTGGCTCAGCTCTGCCAAATCCCACAGCAGGTGCTCAGCAGAGGGCCTGGAAGTCTCATGCTTGTGCACAGACCCCTGCTCCCTTCCAGCCCATAACTACAGGCCCCATAGCTCTGTGCTGCCCTCTGGTGACAGAGTCTTGTTAGTGCTAGGTTGTGGATGGTCCAGACTGATGACAGCACCAACAGCAGCCACTTCTCCCAGCTCCAGGGCACAAGGCAGCAGCTGCTCAAGGGACATCAGAGATGGCCCTGGCCTCTGGAAGTGCAGGTCAGGGTGCTGAGGTGACCTGCATTTAGGACAAAGTGGAGGAGTGGACCGTACCAAGGGAGGAGAGAGAGGGGTAGGGTGTGATCACCCGCCTGTGGGATTTTTAATGGGCACAAGCAGCCAAAGACCTCAGTTTTATGTCCCCTGGGAATGCAACCCCCTCCGTGTGCTGTCTGGAGCGGCCCTATAGGATCACACACATGGCATTGGCAGCTCTCAGCTGGGCAACTCCATGGTCTGAACCTCAAGCCAGCTCATGGTAACTGGAGAGGGACGGGCTGGGGAAAGCTGACTAGGAACAGCACCCAGCTCCATGGGAACATGCTGGCCCAGGGAGCTGGGACAGGACTCAAAGCCCTTCCCCTCCAGTGCGGAGCGGAGATCAGAATGATTCATCCTCAGGGCATCTGCTCCAATCCCACCTCAAAGGGGGAGGGTGGAAGTGGCTGGGGCAGGAACAGCAGGAAAGAGGAAGAGTCTAGAGATAGTCCAAGGTCCCCAGAGATTGGCCCCACACCAGGTTGGGGCGGGAAAGGCAGCTGCCTGGGAAATCATCCAAGGGGGGGATCTGCACATGGGAGTGGAGGGATCACGGTCCATTTTTATTGACCAGAAAAAGGAAGTTATTTCACACACACAACCCCCCACCAACAAAGGGTCTATTTTAAAAAAACATTTCTCATCACACTATTCCAACCCAGAATCACCCTCCAGCCTGACACCCCCCCCCCCCCCCCCACGCAGCCCCAGTCACCTGCCTAGCTGCAGGGCTCCTGGGGGGAATTCCTCCCCCCCCCCATCGCTCCCTGTCTGCATAGGCTGGGTGCAGGGAAGGCATTTGGGGCTGCTCTCCCCACCCTCCCCTCCAGTCTTTGCAGCTGAGGTTTTAAAGTGCCAGGCGACAAACCAAAATAAGATCAACAAAGGAAGTGGGGTTCGTGGCATAAAGCTCAGTGCCCAGGGAGCAGCCTTTGGCCCGGCCACTCCTGGCAGGCCTGGGGGCCACCCAGTGAAGACAGGGTGAGCAAAGGAGTCAATCAATGAAGGGAAGGGGAAAGCCCACGCACCCAACTTCAAAACCCCCTGGGGCTTCAGTGCCCCCTCACAGTTGAAGGGCTCCTACAAGTGACAACAGTGCTACCGTGAGGTGCTGGGTCCCCCCTTAGTCTGGGCAGAGGTGGGGCACATGCCCCAGAATTCCATGGGGTGCATCGCCATGACAGCATGCAATGGTGGGAGAGGCCATTTTGGCCCCACCCACCCACTAGATTTCACCCACTAAGTGCATAGGCACCACCCCTGCCTGGGACAGCGAGTCTTCCCCACCAGGAGTCAGCAGCAGGGTGCCAGAGCAGGAGCAGGGTCACTCGCAGGGCCGCTTCTCGCTGAATTTGCGGGTGTGATCCTCGGCGTTGCGCAGGAACCTCTTGTAGTCACGGGTGAACTCCTCGGCCAGGTCGGCGCGCAGCGGGTGGCCCGGCTCAGGCTCGTTCACCAGCGCAATCAGAGCCTGGATCACTGCACAGAGGGGCAGGGAGGGGGTGAGCATGGCATGGAGTGGGGCAGGGTGTGCCTGCTCCCACACACTGGCCCCGGCCCCCCAGACACCCCATACAGTAGCAGCCTCACCCACCCACGCTGCCTGCTGCCGGCACCACCAACTGCCCCACAGGATACCAGCCTCACCCACCTGCACTGGTCCTGGCACATAAACTGCCCCAGCCCGCCATCCTCACTCACCCCTACAGCCACATCACTGCCACCCTTGTTGTAACCCCCCAGACTCCACAGGCCCAGCACTTCTGGGCACCACCCCCACTAGCTCCCTGGAGGCATGTACATGTGGCAGGGGGGCATGTACCTTGATCCGTCTTGGTGGCGGGTTTCCAGTTCTCAGCACTGATGATGGGCAGGCAGACCTGCCCCTTCTCGTCCACATTGGGGTGGTAGATTTTAGTTTTGAAGGTGACCTTGGGGGGCTTGAAGGGATACTCGGCTGGGAAGCTGATCTCGATTCGGAAAGCACCTTTGTTGTACGGAGGATTGTCCTGGTCATAGGGCAGGAGAGAGAGGGCAGAAAGCTACAGAGCCAGCAAACACTGATCCCTGGGAAGAACTGGGGGCTTGCCCCATCTGCCTTGGGCAGCACAGACCCTTCTGGGGCAAGCAGCCTGTGCTGAATCCCCGCCCCCACCCCTCTAATCTCCCAGTCCCCACACTCACCGGCACTAGGAGCCCTTTCCACAGGAGAACATTGGTGTCGTCCACCTCAATGTCCTTCAAGCAACGGGACCCAGACCTCTTCAAGTCATCCAGCTCCTGCAGTGGGAGAGAGCCGAGTCATCAGGGACCACACACCACCCCCACCTCAGAACTGCCCCCCAATTGGCCCAGCCTTCTGCTCCCTAAAATTGCCACCCCAAAAGGCCTCAGACTCCCACTTCCCCATCTGCCCCCATGTAGCAGCACAAATCAAACCACCAGTGGCACCAATTCAGATCTTTTTGAGGGGAAGGGAGGGGTGAATTCCAGTTCCTGACACACATACACACCAGGAACCTGGTCTAGTCCCCACTTGTCACCCCCTCCACTGGGTAAATTTATAAGTGCATTTGTATGACAAGGCTGCTTGTGATGGCAAGGACTGGGTTCAGCAGCCCTGGGGCTCAGTTCCAGTTTATGTCTTGTGTTCCCGATGCTCATGCTTCAGGATTTCAGCCACAGCCACCCACGGGAGTAAGGAAGGGATTTCCCATCTCTCAACATACTCTGGAAGAGTTTTTTTCTCTCCTTTGAAGCATCAGGGATGGCCACAGCTGGAGATGGGATATTGGGCGGTCAGGCATCTACCATTCTCTCTCAGAGGTGCTTGGCAGGCTGGATCCTGCTCACATGCTCAGGGTGTAACTCAGGGGTGGGAAACTTCCGGCCCGCAGCAAGTCTCCACACTGCAGGCCAGAAGCCCCGAGCCTCAGCACGCCCCTGCGGGGCTGGAACCGTGAGCTTGCCCCGCTGCAGGGGAGAGGATTGCCAGGCTCTTAGAAGTCCGGTCGGCTCTGCGCAACAACCGGAAGCATGCCCCTGTGGCCCCTAGGCACAGGGGTGATCAGGGAAGCTCCCCGTGCTGCCCACTGACTCCGCAGCTCCCATTGTCCAGGAACCACAGCCAACGGGAACCACTGCCTTTGGATGGAAGGGCAGCTGGGCCAAATCCGACTGGTACTGTGACCCTATGTGCCAGCTTGCAACGTCACTCACTGAAACGTGACCTGGCCACTCTCCCGTGAGGACAGAGGGACAACCGGGGCAAATCTGAGCACTGCTGAGACCCTGGCAGCCAAAGCGACGCTCCGGCAGCAGCTGTACTGATTTAGTATGGGACCACTGCTTAAAAGTGGTCGGCCATGGCACTCCCCGGCTCTGGGAAGTATGGAGCATTGAGCAAATGCAAACACCCTGGGGCGGTGTTCACCCATCCCGTAAAGGCCACACAACTGGGACGGCTGCGAGCCACCCTCTCTCGCCCATAGTCTCCCCACACCAGGGCTGCAGCAACCAAGAGCTGGACTGAGCTCTGCCCAGGCACATTTCTCAGAAACTCATTGAAGGGGGAGGGGGGGGTGCGGGAGTCAAACTCACTTCCTGCTCCCAAAGGCAAACAAACAGAGCCTCCTGCTGCCAGCAACCCAGCTGCTCACCTCCCCCTAGTGGGGCATCCCAACTCCCAGGGACTGGAGGGAGCCTTGGGTTACCCAGTCCCGCCACCTCACCCTACTCTAGGGCTCCCCTCCCCATGCCCCTGAGAAACATCACTCCAGAGAAGAGAGTCCACTCCCTCAGCTCAGCCTGCACCCCCTGAGGCTCCCCATTCATCCTCACCCTGCGCTTTTGGTTTCCAAGAAACCAGCCAGGGACTTTCCGAGGCAGCAGCCATAGAAAGTGAAAGCACCTGCCTTGTCCTGACACTTACTTTTAGACATGCCTCCTAAAATTAAATGCCTCCTTTCCTCCTGCTTCATCCCCACTTCGACCTGAACCACCCCGCCCTCCCCTCCCCCACAGCTCCCCCTCCATGGCAATCTGGCCTGGATCCTTTATAAAGCTGGCACCACCAGGGTCAGCATGGTGCATTTGTCCGAAGTTGGCCAGGACACAAAGGGTGAACTTCTGTGTCAGCCCCCATCACCTCGCCCTAAGGGGGTCCAGAGCCCTACTTTTTTCTGTAGGTCACTCCAGCCACCCCACCCCCACCAGCGTGATTTTGATACATTACGAGTCATTTTTTTCAATCTGGGTTTTATTCCCGTCTGGTCATGGGGTTGGGCAGCCAGATGCTGATCAGAGCTGGAGACAACCGCCCAACCCCCTTGCACAGGGGTCACAGCTTCACCTTTGATCCGGCTCCAGGCACATGACAAGCAAAGGGCAGGGGCAGGTGTGACGGGATGGGGGGGTGGAGGGAGAGACACAGGAAGGGGTTAACCTCATTGCAGGGGCCTTTGGAGCCGCAATGGGACCGGGAGCCACAACAGAGACCTGGGGTGGGTCCAGCACCCCCCTGGCTAGCCAAGGGCACCCAAACAAAAGTGAAAGTAATGCAAAGCTCCCACCGCAGCCTTACCTTGTGTCCCACAACCACCCCGCACCCGGCCTCTCCCCAGCCCCCCAACTCACCCGGCCCGGTCCCGCCATCATCCTCAGCCCCCCCGCACTCCCCGCCCCGCCCCCCGGGCCGGTGCCATCAGCCCGCGGGGGGCTGCGAGGGCCAGAGACCCGGCCCGGCCACCGCACCTTGCCCACTCTCCTGCTCGCCGCCATCTTCCCAGCCTGAGCCCAGCCCGGCCGGCTCAGCGCGGAGCAGCGACTCTGCGGGGCGGTGGCGAGAGAGGAGCCGCCCCCGCGGCCGCGCACCACCGCCCTCCCCCTTCCCGCCCCCCGACCAGGGCGAGGGGCGGGGCCAGAACGCTCCCTCTCCCCCGCCTCCTCAGGGATCACAGAGATAGGGTGTGGAGGGGCTAGAACTCCCCCACAAGGATCATAGAGAGGGGCTGGGGGCTAGAGTGCCCCCAGGCCTTCTCCGTAGGGCTGCCAACGTTCCAGTGTCACGAAACCGAACACTCTAGCCCCGCCCCTTCCCTGCCCTCCGCTCATTACATTCCCCTCCCTCCCTTTCACTGGTTGGGGTGCGGGAGGGGGTGAGGGCTCCGGCTGGGGGGGCCGGCTCTGGGGTGGGGCCAGAAATGAGGGGTTCAGGGTGCAGGAGGGGCTCCAGGCTGGGGCAGGGAGTTGAGATGCGGGAGGGGGTCTGGGCTCTGGGGTGGAGCTGGAGATGAGGGGTGCAAGAGGGGGCTCCCAGCTGGGGGGTGGCGCCTAGGGATTCAGAGTGCAGGAGGGGTTGAGGCAGGGGTTGGGGTGCAGGAGGGGATACAGGCTGTGGGTGTGGGCTCTGGGATGGAGCCAGGGATGAGGGGTTTGGGGTGCAGGAGGGAGCTCCAGGCTGTGGGGTGGGGCTGAGGGATTCAGAGTGCAGGAGGGGGCTGCAGGTTGAGGCAGGGGGTTGGGATGCAGGAGGGGATACAGGATTCAGGCGGGATCTGGGATGGGGCTAGGGATGAGGGGTTTGGGGTGCAGGAGTGTGCTCCAGGTTTGAGGGAGGGCTCAGAGTTGGGGCAGGGGGTTGGGGCACGGGCTTACCTTGAGCAGCTCTCGGTCAATGGTGCAGCAGGAGGGGGGCTAAGGCAGGCTGCCTGCCTGTCCTGGCACCGTGCTGCATGCGCCCTGGAAGCAGCCACCAGGGCCGGGTCCTAGGTGGGGAGAGGGGGCAGGAGGCTCCATGCACTGCTCTTGCCCACAGAAACCGTCTTCCCCAGCTCCCATTGGCTGGTTCCTGGCCAATGGGAGTTCAGAGCTGGTGCTTGGGGCAGGGGCAGTGGATGGAGCCCCCTGACCCCCGCACCTAGGACCCAGACCTCCTGGCCACTTCTGGGCACAGCATGGTGCCAGCCAGGACAGGTAGGGACTAGTCTGCCTCAGTGCCACAGCTCCACCGACCAGACTTTTAACGGCCCGGTTGGTGGTGCTTACCAGGGCCGCCAGGGTCCCTTTTTGACTGGGTGTTCTAGTCAAAAACCGGACACCTGGTCACCCTAGTTTCACTGGGAGTCTCTCGGAATCATGCTCAATCTCCCAGAGGCTACTGAAGCCAAACCAGGAGATTTTAGGCCACTAATGGTCTGGCAACTCAGTGGGGCTAAAGCAGGCTCCCTGCCTGCTCTGGCCCTGCGCTGTTCCTGGAAGCAACTGGCACATCCCTGTGGCCCCGGGGAGGGGCAGGGGGTCTCCACACACTGCCCCCCCCCCCCGAGCACCGACTCCGCAGCTCCCACTGGGGCCTTTAGGAGCTACCAGAATAGAAATAATGTACAACGGTGGAAAGTGAAGCCAAGAAGAAATGGGCTGTGTAGCAGAGGTTAGCTGGGGAGCCAGCAAGTGAAGGAGTTTATTGTAAGACATGTTGGTGGTGTAAGGATAAGGCCTTTGTCTGCAGCCATATTGTAAGGCCTAAAGCCTAAGGCCTTTGTCTGCAACCAGATTAAAAGAGCATCCAAGCAGCAGCCATTAGCTGAGAAGCAGAAAGTCACATCCTCACATTTCATCTAAATTACATTAAAACAATGTAATATCAGGCTTTTAAGAAGGAGACCCTGTCCTAATGGCCCCCACTATCACCAGGTAAAGAAACAGATCTTAAGATGGTTAACGAAAACTTAGTTTGATATCATTCTGTCTGTCAACAAATCACTTACAAATAGTTATGGTTGTGAAATCCTCATTTTTTTATTGTTTTGTCATTATGGTCCTCACTTGCCTATTGTTTATCTGTATGAAGAACAGGAGTACTTGTGGCACCTTAGAGACTAACAAATTTATTAGAGTGTAAGCTTTCGTGGTCTACAGCCCACTTCATCAGATGCATAGCATGGAACATATAGTAAGAAGATATATATATATATATACATACAGAGAAGGTGGAAGTTGCCATACAAACTGTAAGAGGCTAATTAATTAAGATGAGCTATTATCAGCAGGAGAAAAAGACTTTTGTAGTGATAATCAAGATGGCCCATTTAGACAGTTGACAAGAAGGTGCGAGGATACTTAACTTAGGGAAATAGATTCAATAACTGTAATGACCCAGCCACTCCCAGTCTATATTTAAACCCAAGTTAATGGTATCTAGTTTGCACATACTAACCCACAGAATCCTTCCTACCAACACTACAAAAAGAAGGATTCTGCGTGGACTCCTCCTGAAGGTCGAAACAACAGACTGGACTTCTACATAGATTGCTCCCGTCGACGTGCATGGGCTGAAATTGTGGAAAAGCAGCATCACTTGCCCCATAATCGCAGCTGTGCTGAACAGAACGCCATCAACGTCTCAGGAACAACTCTGACATCATAATCAAAAAGGCTAACAAAGGAGGTGCTGTCATCATCATGAATAAGTTGGAATATGAACAAGAGGCTGCTAGACAGCTCTTGAAGGGTATGTCTACACTACGAAATTAGGTTGAATTTATAGAAGTCGATTTTTTAGAAATCGCTTTTATATATCGATTGTGTGTGTCCCCACACAAAATGCTCTAAGTGTATTAAGTGCATTAACCCAGTGGAGTGCTTCCACAGTACCGAGGCTAGCATCGACTTCCGGAGCGTTGCACTGTGGGTAGCTATCCCACAGTTCCCACAGTCTCCGCTGCCCATTGGAATTCTGGGTTGAGATCCCAATGCCTAATGGGGCAAAAATATTGTTGCGGGTGGCTCTGAGTACATGTCGTCAGGCCCCCACTCCGTGAAAGCAATGGCAGACAATCGTTTCGCACCCTTTTTCCTGGGTTACCTGTGCAGACAACATACCACGGCAAGCAAGGAGCCTGCTCAGCTCACTGTCACCGTATGTCTCCTGGGTGCTGGCAGATGCAGTACTGCATTGCTACACAGCAGCAGCTCATTGCCTTGTGACAGCGGACGGTGCAATAGGACTGATAACCATCATCATCATGTCCAAGGTGCTCATGGCCGCCTCAGTAAGGTCAGTCAGGAGTGCCTGGGGAGACATGGGCGCAGGGATTGAAATAGGAGTGACTCGAGCAGGTCATTCTTTTTAGTCCTGCCGGCAGTCGTATTGCACCGTCTTCTGGTGAACAGCCAGGAGATGAGGATGGCTAGCAGTCCTACTGCACCGTTTGCTGTCAGCCAAAGATGTAAAAGACAGATGGAGTGGATCAAAACAAGAAATAGACCAGATTTGTTTTATGTTCATTTGCTCCCCCCTCCCTCCCTCCATGAAATCAACGGCCGACAGTCATTTCGGTGAGGTCTGTCAGGGGCACCTTGAAAATTTTAATGGAGATTCAGTCCTGCCTGGAATAGTGGCGGGAGGGATAGCTCCGTGAGTTGAGCATTGGCCTGCTAAACCCAGAGTTTTGAGTTCAGTCCTTGGGGGGGGCCATTCTGTGTGACAGTTGTTTCTGTTTTTCCTTGATGTAAAGTCACCCCCTTATTTTAATTCCCTGTAAGCCATGTCGTCAGTCATCCCTCTCTCCGTCAGAGCAATGGCAGACAATCGTTCAGCGCCTTTTTTCCATGCAGACGCCATACCACGGCAAGCATGGAGCCCGCTCAGATCACTTTGGCAGTTAGGAGCACATTAAACACCACGCACATTATCCAGCAGTATATGCAGCACCAGAACCTGCCAAAGCGAAACCGGGCGAGTAGGCAACATCAGCACAGTGACAAGAGTGTTGAGGACATGGACACAGACTTCTCTCAAAGCACGGGCCCTGGCAATGTGGGCATCATGGTGCTAATGGGGCAATTTCATGTGGTGGAATGCCAATTCTGGGCCTGGAAAACAAGCACATAGTGGTGGGACTACATAGTGTTGCAGGTCTGGGACGATTCCCAGTGGCTGCGAAACTTTCGCATGCGTAAGGGCACTTTCATGGAACTTTGTCACTTGCTTTCCCCTACCCTGAATCACAAGAATACCAAGATGAGAGCAGCCCTCACAGTTGAGAAGCGAGTGGCAATAGCCCTGTGGAAGTTTGCAATGCCAGACAGCTACCGGTCAGTCGGGAATCAATTTGGAGTGGGCAAAACTATTGTGGGGGCTGCTGTGATGCAAGTAGCCAACACAATCAAAGATCTGCTGATATCAAGGGTAGTGACTCTGGGAAATGTGCAGGTCATAGTGGATGGCTTTGCTGCAATGGGATTCCCTAACTGTGGTGGGGCCAAAGATGGAACCCATATCCCTATCTTGGCACCGGAGCACCAAGCTGGCGAGTACATAAACTGCCTGGTGTACTTTTCAATAGTGCTGCAAGCACTGGTGGATCACAAGGGACGTTTCACCAACATCAACGTGGGATGGCCGGGAAAGGTACATGATGCTCGCATCTTCAGGAACTCTGGTCTGTTTCAAAAGCTGCAGGAAGTGACTTTATTCCCAGACCAGAAAATAACCATTGGGGATGTTGAAATGCCTATAGTTATCCTTGGGGATGCAGCCTACCCCTTAATGCCATGGCTCATGAAGCCATACACAGGCACCCTGGACAGTAGTAAGGAGCCGTTCAACTACAGGCTGAGCAAGTGCAGAATGGTGGTAGAATGTGCATTTGGACATTTAAAAGCGCGCTGGCGCAGTTTACTCTCTCACTTAGACCTCAGCGAAACCAATATTCCCATTGTTATTACTGTTTGTTGTGCACTCCACAATATTTGTGAGAGTAAGGGGGAGACGTTTATGGTGGGGTGGGAGGTTGAAGCAAATCGCCTGGCTGCTGGTTACACACAGCCAGACACCAGGGCGGTTACAAGAGGACAGGAGGGTGCGGTGCGCATCAGAGAAACTTTGAAAACCAGTTTCA